CTGCTTTCTGTCACCCCTACCTTAAACAGTCCAGCATACACTGGTACAAGACTTCTCTACAATCCCTCTGATTTAGGCGGAACAAAAGGCACACTCAAAATATTTCATCTCACAATTAGGCCAAGGAAAAACATGCTTTCACACCAGCTACAAATGAAAGATGATCGGTCTGTAGAGTGAACTGCCAACCACTTTGAACAGCTAATGTTTTCCAATATTGAAAGAAAACAGTGAAAATTATCTCTTAAGTTAAAAAAAAAATCAATTATGACATTTATAAAACATAGCGCGGTATCCATATTTGTGTGATAAACATCCGAAAATAAAAGTATGCTGAAAGACATGCTGACAAAACCCCCCAAAACAAGAATATCATTTCAATCCATTTTAGAATTAGGCTTTAACTTATAACATTAGAGCTTTACATTCTGTTTTTTTTTAATATATATAATACACACAGTGTGTTCTCCTCTGATGACCTAGCTTGATGTTTTGGAGGTAAAATATTTTATTCCCACAAGGATCTGCTTCATTGTTTGCTTTCCTGTGTTTTTCCGCATTATTTACATGTTTCTCCAGTGCAGACATAATTTATTTTGCACCAGCCTCATAAACTTCCCTTCACCGCTGTGTCTAAATCATTCAGTGTTTGATCAGCATTAAAAGGTCATTGAAACTAAACCTGTACCAAGCAAAACCTACCCAACAGCTCCACCTGTTGGGTAGGAAACATTAGAGAAAAAAAGATGGAGCAATATTTACCTTTATACTTTACTATTAACAATGTCTGCTCACCGCATCTGTCTTTATGAAGGGAATGTACAGTAAAGGTATTGAGGACTCTGACAGCGCTCTGAAGGTGTGTGAGGGCAGCCGCAGGGCTCTGTACAGGAAGGCACTGTGCCTGAAGGAGCTCGGGAAGCACAAGGAGGCGTACGACTGCACCACCGTCTGCCTGCTCAGTAATCCTCAGGTACCAGGAGGATGGAAGATTCTAGAGTTCATGCAAAGCATGTCAGGTAGCCTGGAAACGGGGAAATCTGACGAGACGCTCTTTTTTTTACACACAACAGGACAAGCAGGTGAATGAGCTCTCCCAGGATCTGGCCCGCCGGCTGGGGATGAAAGTCCGAAAACCCTACATCAGCTCAAAGGTGAGAGGGAAAAAAGTATTTGTTTTTCTCTTATATGCTGTAAAAGATGCACAAAAACAAACATTGTCTGAGACTTAGGGTGGGTTTATTGTTGAACTTAAGTTAAAATAAAAACAATGAAACTAAACTAAAATAGAAGGTAGGGATTTTGGAAAATGGAGAAGAATAATTTTTCTTTCCAAAGCATCAAAAATGATATTTGCTTTGCATGAATGCTGAGAATGTGCATGAAATGCAAAATATTAACAGTTGATCTATACTAGTTTTAGCTGTAGGGTGGAACACACCTTCATTTTGCTTTAAGACTAGGCTTCAGATTTCTTAGTTTATGGTTGAATTTACCACAAAAATCTATTCATTTAAAGGGGAAATGAAACTCATTGAGGTTTCTTCGAGTTTGTCTAGATGTTACAGCTGCAGGCATGAAGGATCTCCGGTTGTGGTGCGTTTAACAGCAGCTCTGGCTAAAGTTACTTTGTTATTTATGACAGTCTGAAAAAACGATGATCTGGGTCTACTATAATTTTCCACATTTCCATAGTAAAACGTTCTTCAGAGGTTCTAGAGGATTTCCTATAACAGAATCTTCTTGATCCGCTTGTTAAGCTGAAAGTCAATTTTATTGATGCAGTTAACTGAACAGACGTATAAAAGATTTGCAGCATCCTGCTGCAAATGCTGAATGACCTAAGAACAGTTAAACTAGTTAATGCTGGGGTGTCTCTGCAGTTCATTTTTTATACAATTAAATAACTGGATCTCTTTTCGTTGTAAATATCATCCATGGTGCAGTGTAGGCGCTGTTACTGAAGCAAAGTTGGACGCAGCACCACTCTCTGCATCAAAACCTAGAATTTCAAATGTCAAACAGGAGAAGCAGGCTGCATACTGGATAAAAAGTCCCAATTTCAGAATAAAATCAACCCACCAACATACATCAGTTTACCTCTCAAAAACAAAAAAGGAAGAAGTGAAACATTGGGACTATCAGATGATAAAACGGGAAATATGCATTATAACAAGTGACCGCTGGGTCGCAGCATTCAGTGTGATTCCGGCATCACTCCGTCACCTCCTCCTGATGCTCTCAGCGTTGTTCATCTCGTTGAATTTTTTTTTCCACTTAATGGAAAGTCCTCCTGATCCCCTTCCTGTACGGCACATCCATGGCTGCCTGCTCAAGCTAAGGAATCACTGCAGAAGGAACCACTGGGTGCAATAAACCTGACGGCGCCCGGAAGGTCGCCCAGCTTACACAGAAATGCAAGCTAGTGCGAACAAAGCTCCAGCAAACTAAGGATAGTGAAGCTTAATGTTACACTAGTCATTTTGACGCCTTTTATAATTACAAAAGTTGATGAGTTCATGTAATGTATACGTTATAAGCATTAAATGAGCAAACAATAATAAGCTAAACATGAGCAAAATGTAAATATGACAAAAAAATGAAGGAAAAGTTTGTCACTGACCTACAGATGATGAACCAGTAGCTCCTGTTTATAACTGACATGTTGAGCTGCTCATGCAGCACCGCAGTGTTTCCTCACTGACGACATTTAGCTTATTTCAAGCATCATTTCTATGTCTGTTATTCCTTCCTATGCAAAATCCTTCTAACGTTGTCAGAGGCGCTCCTGCTAGGGAGCATCGTTTCACTTCGAGGACAAATCCAGATCACATTCTGAGATTGATTGACAGGTGGTATCACCTCAATTGGCTGAGCTTCCTTTAGACAGGAAGTCTTTTTTCCAATTTGGCATGACTGTTTTTAATAAACACCGTAATGTGTGGATTAGAGCTCTCCATATGTGGTTGGATTGTAATGGATGGCTTTAACCCTTTGCCTTGTGAGGTCACTTCTACAGAACTGGAAAAATATAAGTAATATATAAGGCTTGCTGTTTTTTGTGTTTTTTGTTGTTTTTTTTGTTTTATTTTGATAAAAATATCCAGTTACTATATGTTTGTGGATTTATCAGTGTATTCTTAAGGCATTCATCCTCCTAAGGTTTTTTTTAAATTAATAGGAAAAATAAAGTACCACAATAAATGTGATATTTTGACCCCTCCTTTCAGGCACCTGTTAATAATGGCGTCCAGAATGGTGTGAACCCTCCGAGTGTCGAAGCAGCAGGTCAGAATGGTTCTTCTCTGCTAGCTGATAGACATATCAATAAAAGTTTAGTGTTCTGATCAACAGAGTCTTTTTTTTTTTTTTTTGGTGCTTTACTACAGTCGCCTTTCACAGCGCGCCGAAGTCCACCGCTCTCTCCACACCTTCTGCACATCAGCTGGTGGAAGCTGTGGAGGACTTGGAGGTGGTGGGAGATGATCTAGACAGTTTGCTGGACAGCCTTCCTTCTGGGCAAGTCCCATCAGAGGTATAGAAGGCAGATTATTTTTCTTTCATTGAGGATAAGTAAAGTATAAAGTTCTAAATAGTATTTTTAAAGCTGTGGGTTGTTTTGACTCTTGTTTCTTTAAATCTTTTGCAGGTTCTGCAGTTCTCTGACTCTGGCAATGCACCCTCTCCCCCTTCCTTCCTTCCCGCCCCGACTCCCCAGCTCCCTCCTGCCTTTTTCAGCTCATCTGGCAGCCAGCTCAACTCCTTGGACTCCTTCACTAACGGTGATCATGCCCCAGCTGCTGCTGCGCTGGACATCCTTGATGACCTCCAAACCCCCGGGAACGGAGATGGAACGGTTGCCTCAGACGCGTCACTTAACGTCACAACACTGGATAACGTGGATGGTCTGGATTCTCTTGACACTCTTGATGACCTTTTGGACATGATGCCGAATGCTGTCGCTGCTAAGGAGGCTAAAACTGAGAGAGAAAAAACCCCAGAGAACCTGATGAGTGAGGTGGATGCCCTGGGGCCTCATATAAAAGCTCAGAATGGTGACCTTCCTAAAACGGGTGCCATCGCCAAGAAGCAGGTGGGCTCTCTTGACGCTTTGGACTCCTTCCCCACTGAGGAAGACGTCCAGGCTGCTTTCCAAAGAGTTTCAGCCAGAGGAACAAGCCTAGACTCCCTCTCTGATTTCAGCTCAAATGGTGATTACCTCCAACCTCGTTTAGATTTATCCTCACCTCACTATTTGAAAAAACATTTTAAGCTGATGCACAGAACAGAAGCATTTTTTTGTGTAAAAGTGCATTTCAGAGCTTTGTAGCATACAAAAAGGTTCAGAATGTTTTTTATTGCTTTGGTGAGAAAAAAATAATCACTCCTGCAGGCTTTAAGATGGTTTGTAGTGTAAGATAGCTCCTTGGATTTCCTCTAATCTGAGGATAAAAATTGAAATATTAGAATTCGATAAAATAATTTAGCTGGGCCGATTTCTTCACATGGATGCAAACAAAGCCTTAAAAGAAATCCTTCTCTGATTATCTCAACCTGAGGAATCTTTATCTTTAACATCCAATCTAAGGTAAGGCTCTGATAGAGAAAAAGGCCCACAGCATGACAGATACACACATGTTTACTCAGCATATCGTTCTGGAAAGGAATCTAGTAGAGCCTCATTTAAAAAGCAGGAGAAACCGAATCAGCAAGGAACAGTTTAGAACAAAGTAGAATAAATACGAATGTGGAGACTTAGACTTATACAGTACTTTATTGATCCCTTGGGAAGTCTCCCTCTGGAAATTAAGGTTACCAGCAGCTTACAGGGCAAAAAAGTATTAAGTTAAATTAAGTTAAAATTAAGCAAAATACAAAAAACAAAAAATAATACAGATTAAATACACTTTGGTGGATAGATTGACCAGTAATATGGTTTGCACTTGCACTATGTGGTTTGTCCTGATATATATGGAGTTCACATTTTACAGAAAAAATACAAGTGTTGTTACTCCTTCCCTCTTCCCCCTGTCCTGTGTCGCCTCCACGCCCCCCGTAAGGCGTTGTACAGTCTGATGGCGTGGGGGACAAAAGAGTTCTTAAGTCTATATATATGTGATGCAAAAGCATATATATATTTTTAATTAAAGCTCTTACAGAAGCCAGCTGTTGAGATTTCTATGATATAAAAAGCTCTTTCTGGACATTATAAGGAGCATTGTTAAAGCATCGCTCTGTTAGAGCTGCAGTCTGGACTGTTATGGTTAAAGAAAATCAGTTTCATTGTAAGCTCGCCTCCTGCGCTGTGATTGGTCGAAGAGTCTTGAGCTTTTGTTAGTCAGTCTGGCTAACCAGATTTAAAAAGATCCTCCAACATATTTAGCTTTGGCTGCATATTCTTCATTTATTTCAGACATTTACCTCCCTCACAGTCCTGCTGTGTGCTGTAGTGAGATGACTACAAATCCTCCTCCAGACTAATAGGCAGTGAATTCACCAAAAATTAGGAAGTCATGTTTGATAGTCAAAAGTTCAATTAACTTAAACACATAAATAAATAAAAATGAAAGATGATTCTGGTATTAAAACTCCTAATGGATTATTTTCTTAGCCGTTTTCTTTTCCCATCTGAATACATTTTCTGAAATGAAAGGTTTGATTAATTTTCAGCAACAAGAACACTAATACATCTTTGCACTGGTTTTAAGCCAGATCTCTTTCTAGTTCAGTCTTTTAGCCCTAAGAACTAAAGCAAACATGGTTTACTGTAGGCCTAGCCCTCATTTTTATTTATCTTTAAAATTCCCATGAAGATCATTTATTGTATTGATGTCTAACCTGAAAATTCACGGCGCAAGGAGTTCTTAAATTGGGATATAGGAGGAGTTTTCCCTCTTTTAAAAGCGTATCTTCTACTGTTGCTTTGTTGCTGCTAGAAAAGTTCTGGTGTAGGACAGAGCTGTGGTCTTCATTTTATTGTAATTTGCAGTTTATCCCATTAGGTGTCACTAATCCTGGTCCATCAAATGATAAACCGCCTGTTTTTTACAATAGAGCATCACTGTTGATATTTTACCGCCTGTCATCTGTGCTTCTCTGCTGTTATTCCTCAGGTTTCTCAGAGTCTGACACTGCTGCTTCATCTCTAATCAGATCTCCAAAACACCAATTTAAAGTAAGTGTTTTATTCCACGGATTGTTTATCGTTTTATTTTTAGATATTTTCGCCATGTTAATTGAAGTCGTTTCTCTTAAAGGCGAAGGACAGCCATAATGGGACTGCAGCCGTCTCTAACCCTCTGTCCTCCACCCACGAGTTCCTGCAGGCTTGCTCCCTCTGTTTTCCTCGTCTTGGTCTGTCCTCTTATGAAATCAACTTTCTCCATTTGGTTCTATTTGTTTTATTTAAATCTAAATGTATTTTATCCATTTCCAGGTCCAAGTGTTTACAGCTTTGTTCACAAGCCAGACCTCGTCCATGACTGTAAGTGTGACATATTGCTGTGCAGACAGAGGGCTGATTGTCCTTCTGAATGGACGAGAGTGAGACGGCTTCCTTCCCGGACGTCGTTCTCTGGACCTTTTGTTCTTTGTAAAGGTAGGAGAACATCAGAGAACATCATCATAGTATTTAGACAATGCTAATTTCTGCTCCTAGGAGGATCTTTTTTATTATGGAAGCCTGTTTCTGCAACATGAAAGTAAAAGAATGACTAAATCTCGCAATTTTTATTTTATTTTCATGTGGCAGAAACGGGCTTCCATACATTTATTCCTTAAGTTTTGGTGCTGTTCAATCTGGCGATTGACTGCTACATTGGTTGGCTGATATTTTTGGCCAATATTACCATTCGTTTTAATGCATCAAGCAGCCTTGAGATCAAGTGAAGACTATTGTGGTCCATTGTTAATGTTTTTTTTCGATTTGTTTGACAGTTTTGTAATCATTTTGTTATCATTGTTTAATTTTAATAACGTAAACTGAGGAAGAAACAGCAGTATCAGCCTAGAATTGGCCCCAGAAAATCAAGCGTCAGTTTGATTTCAACATGATCAGTATTTGCATTGGCCTTAAACAAAGCAAGTATTAGTCAATCTCTAGTTCAGTTACTTATAATTAGTTAAGGGGGATTGTTAAAGCTTAGAGCTTATCTTGTTCAGGTATTAAAAACTTTAATTTGTTTATGTTTAAGTTTCTTTAAATTTAGTCGGTTAAGCCGCCACTATATTTTTGTGTGGTGTTTTTTCTCATATTGTCACCATTTGATGTTTCATATCCTTGAGCGAACATTAGTATTAGAGAAGCATAAATCAAAATGCTATTTATTTGAATGATTCATTACTTGACTAAAGACATAAATCAATTTAATGAAAAGGAAACAATTAATTGCCCCCTAAACTTCCTAATAAGTGCTAGCCTTAGCAGCGACAGCTCCACCAAGCGTTGATTCTTTTCTATCACTGTGGAGAACTTTGTTTAAACTCCGACAGAAGGTTTGTACAGGAAAAGCCTCCAATACAGCTAAGATCATCCCTCAGCATCTCATCAGGATTTAGTCCACATTTAGACTTTCCTTAATTTCCCCTTTATGTGAAAATCCATTCCTGTTTATGCTCTAGTATTCCTCCGCTCGCACATTACTTCTTTTCTAAATACCGGTACCAGTGAGGCTCTGGTTCAGAATAACACCATGAAGAAATTCCTTTTAACCAGATGTTACCATCAGGGCTGGAGCTAGAATGGGGGGCAGGGGGGCATTCAGAACTACTTCATGAAAAAGAAGAGAAGGTTCTGTGTCTCTGCGGTCATCAATAGTCTTCCCTGACATACAGAACCACTGATCAGCCTGTGATCTGTGTAAATTACTTGGAACTCGTACTCGTAAGGTATCAGAAAGTGGGGGCATCAGTCTCAGCAGAGACTCCCAGGCCTCCCTCTGCACAGACACCTCCTCCAGCTCCTACTGGGGGAATCCCAAGGCACTACCAGGCCAGCAGAGAGACATAGACCATCCAGCATGTCCTGGGTCGCCCCCTGGGCCTCCTCCCGGTGGGATGTGCCTGGAAAAACCTTCCTGTGGAGGCGTCCAGAAAAATATGTCAAAGCCGCCTCAGCTAACTCCTCTCGACGTGGAGAAGCAGCTCCACTCTGAGCCCCTCCCGAACGCCAAGCTCCTCACCCCATCACTAAGGCAGAGCCCAGCCACCCTGTAAATAAAGCTTCAGTTATTTTGGTCCTGATCCAGATCATCATGACCATAGGTGAGGGTAGGAACATGGACCAACTGCTAAATCAAGAGCTTTGCCTTTTCACTCAGCTCTTGATTGCCGACTTAATGCCAGCAATGCGGAACAGCAGTGCAGAGACCAGATGGCCCCTAGTAATGGCCCCCTGACAGATGTTGTGCCTGTTTTACTTTTCCTGTTGGTACAGTGTAATTAATGTAGACTAGCCCTAAAATGGTTCTCAGATATCAGCTGCCTCCTGCGTGTGCATTGATCGATAGAAAATGTTCTGACAGATAATTATCGTCAGGTGAGTACAAGAACAAACATAGTTATGTTAAAAAAGTGTTATAAAATCGCAACTTGGGTTGAAAACAAAAGAAAATCTTTGCTTCTCTGCTTTGATGTATCACAAAAATCACATAGCTCTATTTCTCAGTGGCTTTATTACAGTTTCCAGACCTGCAGATGTCAAAGAGTGCTTTTCCGCTCTTGCGTTAGATCAGCGCAGACAGCTTCTGTTTGAGTGAATCTTTATTCTGAAGGTCAGGCAGGACTCAGGCCTGAATGTAGCTCCTAAAGTTGAACCAGGAAAAGGTTAATTAATGAAACAACAAGGAGGGTGATTACATTTTTGCAGGGTTTGCAAACTACGTTTGTGCTTAATTAATTTTACTTTTTTGTCACACGTCTCAAAAAAAGTCTGTAAAGAGGCTAATAATTTAACAGAGCAGTCACATGATCTGTGTTTTAATGGTGTGATCTTGCTTTGAGTATTTTATGTTTTCTTTTATCCAGAGCTGCTGAAGTCCGGGGATCTGGGTGTGTGCAAGTATGGAGAAAAATGCACATTCGCTTACAACCAGCTGGAGATCGACGTTTGGACAGAGGAAAGGAAGGGAAGGCTGGACAGGAACGCTCTGTTTGGAGGCACACCTGTTAAAATGGACCCAGTGAACAGCATCATTGGTCTCCTGCAGGAGCACAGAGGCAGGTTTATCTTCCTCTGTCAGGTCAGTGCAGCCGTCACATCTTCTCCCATCTCACATCTTACTTTTGAACGCAGGGTTTCACTTTAGGTATTTCTCTGTAGGAATGCTACGACGGCAAACCTAGAATCATCAGTAAGCGCTCCTGTGTCAGTCAAGCAATCTGCTCCAACTTGGAGGCTCGTCACAACTTTGATGCTAATAAGTGAGTCTGCGGTCTGAGGCGACCTTGAAACGTCTCTCATTTTCAGGTTCCTCTAACTGCTGCTCTTGGTTCCCTTCAGGTGCCTGGCCTTTGTAGTGACCACCCACAACATTAACTATAGCAAAGTGCGTCCTCTCAGCGTCTTGTGCCAGTTGGGTTTGTGTCGACAAGCCATCCGATACGGCTGCCTGCGGGAGGACAGTTGTGTATTTGCCCACTCCGTCATAGAGCTGAAAACCTGGAGGGTCCAGCGTGACACAGGTGGGTTCCTATCACATAGATTAGAATAGATTGGATGAGCTTTATTGATCTCACAGCAGAGAAATTCACTGGTCACATAGTAGTTAAAGAAGGTGCAAACAAGGAGGAAAAAAGTGCATTAAGAATAGACAATATATATACAGTATATCAAAACCAAAACACCTAAGTTATCAGAAATCCTTTTACTGATGAGAAGTATGATGTTATTAGAAACAGCCCGTCTACGTTCGTCTGTACCTCTTGTCATTATGATGTTACCTTTCTACTTATTCATAATAAAAATCCATGTTTTTATCATGGAAGCAGGAAGAATAATTACATGGCAGCAGTTACATATTTAATTAAACCATTGTTTCAAAACAAAGAGGGACCAAGTTTCTAGGTTATGTAACTAATATGTGTTGGTGGGTTTGTTTTTCAGTCGTTCAGAACATTCAAACATTTCTTTAGACATTTAAACAAACAGTCCCGTTTAGATAACTGTAATCATACTCAAAGTGCTCCTGGCTTTACAAATTGAAACGGAGGGACGTGTTTCGTTGGTGCAGCGGTTAGCGCACACAATCATGGCCGTTTCAGATTTGAATCCGGTGCTATACTGTATTTCTCTACTCCTCCCTTATATGCCTGTCAGCCCAATTTATAAAAAACAAGCCACTAGTGCCGTAAAAGCAGTCATATCAGGACACAGAAGAAAAGAGCAAGAGTTTGAAACAGAATAAATAAATGCACATGGAATTAGATTTTAAAAACCATAAAAATCTGATTTATTCCTTCAGAAAAAAAAAATTTAGAGAATAGGAAGTAGACTGACTGAGTGAAAGTCTTGATTTAAGAAAGGAGTGTTGGTCTGGACCGATCGTTTGGGCAAATCAATCTCAGCCAGAAATGGATCAAACTGATCCAGTTGAAGCAGGATTAAAAAAGGATGTTATGCTTTGATCAACCTTAAAATAGCAGAAGATGTGGATTCTTGCACCATGCCTCACAGTTGGCTTCATGTTGTAATTCATCACCTACACTGCAAAAAAATGAAATCTAAATAAGTAATTTTTTAATTAAAATAAGTGCATTATTTCTTGAATGGAGCAAGACAATATGTATTTAAAATAATAAAAAATTGTCTTATTTCAAGTGCATATTATCTTATTTTAAGAGTAAAACATCCCAGTCCGTTGGCAAACCATCTTATTTGCCTTTTCAAAATTAAGGGTAAGTGCACTTAATTTAAGAAAATGTTATTTATTTCTAGATCTTTTTTTTTTACAGTGTAAAATACTCCCAATTCGGCCCAATATTTGATGGAAGTGACTTTATGTCTGTAAAGCTTTATCCCTAAAGCAATAATCATATAGAAAGTATTATAGAAATTTAAATTCTCACATCTCAAATCAACCATCACTGGGCCATGCTAGTTTCTCTGCGTTTGCTCTGAAAAATTTTTCCTTTTTAACCATAGAATAAAGGTAGAGGTGATGGCACACAGCCTTGAGTTGGCCCAGTGGAAGTCAATTAAAAACCTTAGATTCACCCTGGCCTTAAAAAAAGATTGGTAGTCTAGGATCAACCCCACCTAATTTTTAATCTGATTTTGGTGCCTTATGAACAAAATCCTCAGTGCAAATGTCTCGAATTAAAATGCAGATATCTAAAGAAGTGTTTAACATAGTGAGGGTTGTACTCTTTTCTCTGTGAAGCATGTTTGCATAAGGTAAAGGATATAAAATATGTTCATTCTAGTTAAAGTCTAATATATAAAATGAAAGTTTGTAATATTTGTAGAAAAACTATGGTTAAAGCTTCAGGTCTAAAATCCTCTACTGAAACAACTGTGATATTATCCAGCTTTACGGAATTAAAGTCTTTTTATTTGACCTTCTGAATGCTGATGTTAGCAGATGATAAGTGAATATATTTTATTAAAACATATTTATTTACAGGTATCAGTCCGGATGAGATTGTGAAAGTTTCAAGGGAATATTATGACAAGCAGGAGCAGAACTACAGAAAGGAGAAAGAGAAAAGGGTAAAGATTTTTGTGTTTTGTTTAAATAGTAGTAAATCACTTATTGTAAATAATGTGGATCTGTTATGGTCAAATTTTCATTCAGTAGAAAAATATTCTTGCATTTCTAATGATTTTATCTGTTATTTTTGTTGTCACACTGCAATATTTAAAATGCTCAGATTATCTCTGTGTCATATTAACATTAATCTGAGTACAAAGTGAAATATTAGAATAAATGAAGAAATAAAAATTAATCTGCCCATTTGTGTAAAAGTAATCACCTTATAAATCTATTAGCTCTTTATTAACCCTCAGAAGCGACAGCTGGCATTAAGTGTTTCCATTAGTTCTCTTTTATGTAGCTTTGTCTCTCAGTAACCCTGCATAAGTCTATACAACTTCTTCAGATGCTTTATTATTAGCCACATGTTTTTGTCATGTTCTACAGTTAAACATGTCACAACTGTAGTTTTTCTTTTTTGTGCTGCACATTTCCCTGCTTATCATACACTGTGTGCACAATTATTAGGCAAGTTGTATTTTTCAGGATTATATTTCTTATTGGGCCACAATTGTGTTCTCAATCAACCCAAAAAACTATTTAATATCAAAGTTTCATATTTTTGGAAGTTGATGTGCGTTTTTTTTTTTAGATTTGGCCATTTTATGAGGATGTCTGTGTGTGCAGGTAAATATTACTGTGCAGAATTATTAGGCAGCGTAATAAAAAACAAATATATACCCATCTCACTTGTTTATTCTCACCAGGTAAACCAATATAACAACTCAAAATACAGAAATAAACATTTGCAACATTCAAAATTAAAAAATAAATCAGTGACCAATATAGCCACCTTTCTTCACCATGACGCTCAAAAGCCTTCCATCCTTAGATTCTGTCAGTGTCTTGATCTGTTTGCGATTCACATTGCGTGCAGCAGCCACCACAGCCTCCCAGACACTGTTCAGGGAGGTGGACTGTTTTCCCTCCATCTAGATTTCACATTTTCATGAAGGACCACAGGTTCTCCATGTGGTTCAGATCAGGTGAACAAGGGGGCCATGTCATTATTTTTTCTCCTTTTAGACTTTTTCTGGCCAGCCACGCTGTGGTGTATTTTGATGACGGAGCATTGTCCTAACCTGACTCCGCCAGATGGATTTGCTCCGCATATCCATCTGGAAACCCTCCGTAGAAATAATTTTGGGAAGGGGCGAAAATACTGGTTAGCTGATTGGCCTATGTTGGTGATAGACGGGCCATATAAACCAATCAGATCAACGAAGCATATGACGTAACCGAGCGACGACGAAGAGGAGCCAATTGATAGATCAAACTCTTGCCAAAACCAGTCGGGAGAAGAGCAAAAGCATCTTTTCCTCTGAGAAAAGCCTCCAGAGCAGTGTTTTGCTCTTCTTTCAGTGAAGAAATACTCTGTAATTCCGATAAAACTTGCTCGATAGCCACGCTAACGCTAGTTTCATAGGCTGAAGCCGCCATGTTCTTTAGACTGAACTGTCGCGCTTCTCGTTGCGTCACACCTCAACCCGCCTCAAAGCCAACGCTGATTGGACGTTCATTTGGTGAACGGCTCCAAATTTTCTTCAACGGAGAGTCTCCAGACCGATTAGCGAGTGAAATCTTGAAAGCTCGCGAGATCAGAATGGTCTCACGAGGCTAGCATTGTCCTGCATGATTATCATAATTTTTTTTGAATGATGGCGACTTCTTCTTGTACCACTGTTTAAAGAAAGTGTCTTCAAGAAACTGGCAGTAGGTCTGGGAGTTGATCTCGACTCCATTATTAACGCGAAAGGTCCAACAAGCTCATCTTTGATGATACCTGCCCAGACCAATACCCCACCTCCACCTTGCTGGCGTCTGAGTCGATAAGGAACTTGCTGCCCTTTACTGATCCAGCCTGGTGCCCATCCATCTGGCCCATCAAGACTCACTCATTTCATCAGACCAAAACATCTTGGAGAAATAAGTCTTTAGATATTTCTTGGCCCAATCATCTTAATTCATGGGGAGTTATTTTGCGTCTTCTTTTTTCAACACGCTTCTTGCGCGCCTGTTGGCTATTTGCCATGAACCGCTTGATTGTGCAATGATCCCGCTTCAAAAGCTTGGCAATTTCCAAACTGCTGCACCCCTCTGAAAGACATCTGACAATTTTTGACTTTTCAGAGTCTGTCAAATCTCTTTTCTGACCCATTTTGCCAAAAGAAAGGAAGTTGCCTAATAATTAAGCACACCTTATATATGGTGTGGATGTCATTAGGCCACACCCCTTCGCATTACAGAGATGCACACCACCTGATTTACTTAATTGGTAGTTGGCTTTCAAGTCTATACAGCTTGGAGTAGGACAACATGTATGAAAACGATGATGTGGTCAAAATACTCATTTACCTAATATTTCTGCACACAGTGTAGTGATTTCAATAAATAATCACACTTTCAGCTGTTCATTAAACTCTTCCTACAACTTTATTTTAGTTTTTGACTTCTTAACTTGGAACCTTAGATTCTTTGTTTTAAGTAAAAACTGAATAATCTATTTTGAATATAAGATAACTCACTTAATTCTTTTTTTTTTCTTTGTACTAGCTGTCCTCTGGCGGGGGTAAATTAAAAGGAGCCAGCGGTGCGGGGACAACTCTTAACATCAAAATGAAGTTTGCATGTGCACAGTGCTTACGTGGCGGCCTGATCAGTGAACCGGACAAAGCTCTCAAATACTGTACAGCTAAAGCCAGACACATGTAAGGAAAGATGAAGTCTTAGTTAACTTTGTCTGATTTGTTCAGTAGAATGTTAATAAATGGAGCTGATCAACTTTTATTGTATTTAATGTGAGAGTTTTAAGATTCTTACAGCAATCAGCATAAAAAATGTGAATAGAGTATTCTCATTAGTAAAACCACCTTTACATTTTTTGGGTTTATGTCCATGAAAAACAATCACTTACCAGCTCTGTCCAGTATCAAAATTTAATCCGGTGTTTGTTTATTGTTTTGTTTTTTTGTTCTTTAATTTCCAGGTGGACCAAAGATAGATATGTGCTACTGGTCAAGAATTCTACACGGGGTAAATGGACTCAAGTCCGACCACTGCCACATGCTAAGAACTTCCCGCTGCAATATGATGTAGGTGTGCTAATCCTGAATATAGTTAGCTCATCCCGGACGAGCCCCCAAACCCTTGTTGTACTGTGCATAGCGTAATTGTACATCGGACAACGATATGCTGCATCAGTGTTTCCAATTGACGTTATTTCTTGAGGTACATCAACTCCTCCTTCTGCAAAGTCCTTACAGTTAAGAAGATGTTCCCAAGCTTGTAAAAATTTCCCATTTTTTTCCAAAAATGTAATGTCCAAAAATTTTCATTATGTTAAAAAACATTAAGTTTGGTTACATTAGCTTCAGCTGGCATCTTTACAAAGGCACATTCATCGTTGGGGCAAAGAGCCTGCCTCCTTCCTGAACCACATAATAGTTGGAAATTCCAATACTGTTTATACTGACATGTCACTCTTTGAAAAGATGGACGTGATGCCTTCAGGCATCTGGAAATTGTATCTAAGGACAATCCACACTTTTGGATTCTCTTCCTGATATTTTGGCCGATGTCTTTACATTTTTACTGGACACTCAAATAAATAAAACAATGTGTTTGATTTGTTCCTTTAAAAAACCTTCACTGTTGGACCTCATTTTAATAAAAAAATAAGGATTTACCATCAGATGCTTATAAACCCAAAATTTCCTTAGACTTTATAACTTTTAAGACACTGTAAAGTTGCAGTATATACATGCTATTAATTTAATTGTTTTATTTTTTAATGGACATTTTTGATGTAACATCACTAAATTAAACCTGATTAATAAGTCTTTCCCCTGAGAATATTTGTACCTCAAATTTATTTTCCTAAACTTTCACACATTCAGATATTTTTGAGATAAAGCAGGAAAAACTACAAATAGCAGTACTTTACTTGATGCAGCCGTACCCTTGCAGGATTGCATCTTTGCAGAAAAATCGATGTTAACAAAATCATGGAAAGGTCACTTAAAAAAAATTCACACCCTTTCCCACATTTTGTCTTTCAAAATCACAAACTACAGTGAATTTTGTCTGATATAGAACATTTTTAAAAGAAAAATCTCAAGTGAGCTGAGGCCGATTTTTCCCCTCCTGATATCTCGGTTGCGTCTCTGATTAATACACACACACTCCAAGCATTTTTAGATTTTCTTTTGTAAAACAAAATTAATTTATGATATTTAACTGTGCGCCATTATTTGCTAGTTTAGCTTGTCTTCCTCAGTTCAGATGCTTTTAAAAAATAAGACATGGTGATTAAAACTTGACAACCTCAGAAGGGTGTGAATATTTAAACACTTTTGCATTCAATAACGCGATCCTTTCTTCTGTCAGATGTGTGCACAGGTTGTGGAGAAGGGGAAATGCTTCTATACTGGAAACTGCACCTTTGCTCACAGTCAAGAGGAGAGGGAGATGTGGATGTACATGAAAAATAACGAGTGTGAGTCCCTCTCTACCGCAGTAGCCCAGGAGAAAATGAAGTCATGCTAATGCTGCCTGGTGTGATCGATGGTGTTGATTTCATGTCTGCAGCTTTGCCAAACATCCACATGTATTCATAGGATTAGTGTTTTTCTGTTTGCAGTGCTGGACATGCAGCAGGTGTACGACATGTGGCTGGCTTTGGCTGCTCAGAGCCGCCAAACAGATGGAGCCACCATGAGCCAACCCAACCCAGAGGAGAAATTCATCGCCATGCCAACTGACTTTGCTGAACCTCTGGTGGGTTAATGGTGTCTTTGTTTATTTAATGCCGTTGAATGAAGCCGAGAATGGGGTTTAAAACACGCACATCCTGTTTGTGTTTCAGAATGGCTTCCACTGCCGTCTGTGTGGGAAACACAGTAACAGTGAGCGGCAGTGGCAGCATCACATCTCCTCAGAGAAGCACAAAGACCGGGTGTTCAGCTGTGAGGGAGAAGACGAGGCCCTGAGGTGGAGCTACCGTTTCCCTGGAAGGTGTTTAAAAATCTGCCCCAAGTAAGCTCCGTATCCGGTTACCCTCTGCTTTATGTAGGATCAGCTACCAGGACGCTTTGTTCAACAGAGGCGTCCAAAGAACAGACTTAATCTACAGACTCAATGCAAAACACAGCAAAGTTGATTTATTTAAGTAATTTAGAGAATCATTACAGAGGGAAATATTTCTTTTGTGTTGAGTTTCTTTGATGGATTTTTAACCAATTTGTTATACCAGGAGGATTGGGACAATGATCACCGTCATTTTTCAAATTTGCAGTTTTTTCCTGATTTTTTGGGATGTATCACAACATTTTTCTATTATAAATATCTTTCTGTTTTATTATATAATGTTGTACTAATTCTCCAGAATGCTGAATTCCTGGTTTTGAAGCCAGAATCTTGAAAATTCCCAGACATAAACATTTGACGTGCCTCACTCTCTATCTAATAGATCCACATGATAAAAAAAAAAAGACAAACCGCCGATGGATGGATTTGAATAGCCATAATGAATGAATTATGTGTCAACATGCTGATATATGTATATGATCTGGGCCTAATGTTGCCATCAGAGGTGCTGACTGACTAAATGATTTTGATTTCCAGAATCGACGGCGGCTGTCCGGATGGTTTTAGTTGCGACTACGCTCATAGTACGAAGGAGTTGCAGGAGTGGATTGAGAGACGGGAATTTCTCCGCCGCAAGCTAGCTAAAGCCAGGGAAGACATGCTCATCATGCCTGACGAGGTTGACTTTGGGAAGTACAACTTTTTGCTTCAGGACTGAGAATAAGAGAACATGATGATCCAGTGTTTGAACCGACAATCAGATTGCTTCACGCCTTGTTGAACTGAAACTAAAGGGGCAGTGATCAGGATGTTCAGCTCGCCAAACGAACTATTGAATCAATAGTCCAAAACTAATGCATCGCCATGAAGTGTCTATAACTACTTCTTTTTGGTTTGTTTTTTTGCTTATCCTTGTATGATGCAATTAATGTAATCCACAAATACTAGCCCTACTGTGAAACATATAGCTGCCATAAAAGAATCAGAATTGGTTATCTAAGAACAATTTTAAATTTGATTTTTAAACATGCTAACAGTGTTTGTCTTGTTTCCTCTGTTTCCTGCTTTATTTTGCTCTAGCAGGCAGTTCTTGTGTTCCACAGTTCATCAACACAGGGTGAATGTTGGCAAACTTTAAACTTCAGTACTATACTGGGAATTAATTAGTTGTTTTCATGCAAAGGAGTTATGAAAAAATTGTTTTTCTTTGTTGCTGCATTTATTGATCATCAGAAAAATGTTGTCAAAGGATTTCCTAAGATATTAAACCTCTATCCCTTTTATGCAAATGTCTTATTTTGCAGAATTATCTTTTCTCTTTTTGAATTGAAAATAGGGGTATATTTTTTTGAATTTGCTGAATGTATTAAGGGAAGGAGAACATTACCAAACCCATTTGGTTATCCCAGCTGCTACATCTAAGAGATCTTATAAAAAACTTGCAGCAGCATAATCTTACACTTCAACTACAAGTAAGAACTTAATAAAAAGCAAAGTTATGGAAGGAAGTTTGTGTTTTTTATATTTTTTCAGAAAAATCCATGGTATTTGGTATTTAGTCCCAATTATATTTTTTTCTTCATATATTTAGCTTTTTAGGTTCTTTGCAGCTTGTAGGAAAATAAATATTAATTGATGGGATAAAAATAAGATGTAACACAGGGGTTCGTTGGTGATTTTTATTTTTTTTTATTTAATCAGTCATTGCTTTTGTGGATGATTTGTTTCTGCTGTCTCCTTCCTGCCAGGACTTACAGCATGCACTGGGGCGGTTTGCAGCCAAAATGAGAATCAGCTCCTCCAAGGCTGAGGCCATGGTTCTCAAAGGTGGTCTGTCCCCTTAAGACAAAAGCCCCATTTACACTACCCCTTTGAAACCATGCAGAGATCGGTCTGAGCACGGTAACAAAGATAACCGTTGAGAGACACAACCGAACTGCACTAAACTGGTACTAGTTCATCAGTAGGGCTCGGCACGGGTCAGTTCTCGCCCAGTTCTCAGATAACAAAGAGGGCATGAGCAGACCACATCATGTCCTTACAGTCAGCCTCCGTAATTAGAAAATTTCAGACATTCATTAAAATACTAGCTTCCCACCCGTGCCACACCATTTCAGTGATTTCAGATTCTGCTTTCCAGTGTGATGAACCTCAACATCCGTCGTTGTTTCCTGCATCTTTAAGCCCTGATTAAACTATTGTTTGTCGTATCCTCTTCCCAGAAGCCGTCTCTGTTAAGTAAATTCACCAAAGGCTCCTTCTTCGCTAGCCTCGTGAGACCATTCTGATCTTGCGAGCTTTCAAGATTTCACTCGCTAATCAGTCTGGAGACTCTCTGTTGAAGAAAATTTGGAGCCGTACAACAAACGAACGTCCAATCAGCGTTGGCTTTGAGGCGGGTTGAGGTGTGACTCAACGAGAAGCGCGACAGTTCAGTCTACAGAACATGGCGGCTTCAGCCGATGAAACTAGCGTTATTGTGGCTATCGAGCAAGTTTTATCGGAATTACAGAGTATTTCTTCACTGAAAGAAGAGCAAAACACTGCTCTGGAGGCTTTTCTCAGAGGAAAAGATGTTTTTGCTCTTCTCCCGACTGGTTTCGGCAACAGTAGCCTGGCTTGTGGTTGTGTTTTCGTCGTCGGTCTGTCAGTACGTCAAATGCTTCGTTGATCTGATTGGTTTATTTGGCCTGTCTATCACCAACATAGGCCAATCAGCTAACCAGTATTTTCGCCCCTTCCCAAAATTACTTCAACAGAAGGTTTCCAGATGGATATGCGGCGCAAATCCATCTGACGGAGTCAGGTTACTTCTTCGCCTGACTCTCAGCAAACTTCCTGAATGTCACTGGCACCGCCATGTTGATTTACTTGTTTACCACAAGAGAGCACTAGTACGTAGATCACCACTAGAAAGCGAGGGACCGTGCTAGCGTTGTGTGTAACCGGTCGCACGGAACCGAGCTCGGCACGGATCGGTTTCCAGAGGGGAGTGTAAATGGGGCTTTAGTGTCTCGTTTATTAGAGAGACCAGTTTTACAAAATATTAAATAGTATAATGGATATAATATAGATGACCCGATGATAATTCCCTGCAGCCTGAGCTGACAAAACTAGGACTAAATTATAACACTTTTTTAAAAGCCAGATAAAAACCTCCTTTTGGTTGCCACATCACGGTTTCATAGAAAGTTGTGATATTTCATCTTCAGGGATCACTGTTCCACTCCATGTGGTGCCGCTGTTTGACAACACCTCCGTTCTATTGAGTAGCAGGAGGTGAGAGCAGAGCAGTCAAAGCTCTCACTGTGGGATTCAAAAACATACGTGGGAGTGTAGCATGCATTTTATGCATAAAATGCAGCTTGTACCAGAGCAGAATGTGAAATGAGCTGCTGGTCAATTTGAAGTCAGGTGCGTTTGTTTGTGTGTTATTTGGAGTGTCTGACTACAGCGGGACAATATCCTTCACAGCATTGAGATTTACTGTAAACTATAAATTTTTTGTTTTGTATTTCTGCTGGTGAAGATTCCCAGTCATCCAGGTCATAGTCATTCCAAAAAAGTATTGCAGATCAGGGCATGCAATTGGTTTATGCAGTACAGTATGGTGTATGTAGTTCAATGCAGCGAGGAATGCCCTGATCTTTATAATAAAAAAATCAAACAAGCTCTCCACAGAAGCATGGCTCAACACAGAAGAGCTACCTCCTCCAGACAAGACTCTGCTGTCCACCTGCACCTTAAGGACAAGAAACACCCATTTAAGGACCAGAATGTTCACATTTTGGATTAAAAAAAAAGAAAGGTGGATTGAAAGGGCTGTGAAGGAAGCCATTTATGTTAAAAAAGAAAAAACAACCTTAAACTGAGAGGATTGACTCTGATTTTAGCTCTAAAAAACCTACAATGCAGCAATATAGTTGATTCCTTCCCTCTATCATAGTAACCTCCATCCCCATACAGGTAAACAGAACACCTCACCTGGGAGCCAAGCCAACCCTTTCTAAGGCGTAGATCAGTATTTTGGTATTCCACGCTAACAAAGAACCCAAAACGACTCACCATTCCTAAGGGGCGGACCTGTTCTTCTGGTTCAATTTGCATGTTTTCTAAACCAAAACAAGTTTTTTCTGATATTTTGAATCGGAAAAAGCTTCTTGGATGGGAAGCGAAAGGTTTTCAAACTTGGAATCCAAGTCCAGTGGCTTGTTTTTTCACTTTTTTGAAATGCTTTGAATTTATGTTTCTATATCGTCTTTCCGATGGAAGTGGGACAAACAACTCGGGTGGAATGTGACTCTTTTTCTAGACTGGTCCAGTATAAACCTAGTCCTAATCTGGTAGACAGCATCCCACAATCCCATGCATTGTCTTCACTACCTGTATAAAGTCTTTAGTCTCCTCCATCACCACTGTGAGACAGAAGGCGGCCCAGGAGAGTGTTTCCTTCCTGTGTTGGACATTGTAAACCCTACACCTTTCTTTTTCTGAGAGAACATTTCACAGGAGCTGCAGGTACCGCTGTGTTGTTTCGTTCAACTACAAAAGTACAGGTTTGGACTATTGGGTAACAATCAGGTTTGCAAAATGGAGCAGAGATGCCCTTCTCTTCATCCAGGACAGGTAGGACAGGAAAACCTTTAAAAGCTCTGGAGATTATCCAGGGTTGGGGTAGGGGAATCTCTGCAGACCCTCCAGACATCCTGCACTCTTGAGACACATGTGAACTTTGTTTTCCAAGGCTCTCTGATGAATAATGAAGTACTCGGATCAAAATACCTTTTTACTTGTTTATATTTAAGTGGAACCATAATCAAAACTGAATTAGCTTGAGGAATGAAGCTGATTTCTATTCTGAAATGTTCTCAGCCGGGGTTGCATTACCTGGATCAGACACTAGGTGTCACTGCACGTCACTTATATGAACACCTGATTCCCGCCGCACGTGCAGCCGTGCATGGTGTGCTGAAACCATTTGCACTCTGCAAAATGGTTTTGTTATTGTTGCTTTCAGGGCCCGCCTCCCACTTTCTAATTGGCTCTGCGGCTAAGCTTAAAGGCTCGCAATTGGTCGATTTCACCGAGATTGTGGGCGTGTCCCCTGCTACTCGGTAAACCCATAAAACTTGGACACACTCAGGCGTCCCTGTGATCCAGAGAAGTTAGTGAAAAGTCAAAGAAGTGAGTTCCAGAACCATTACACCAGGTTTGCTTCGTACTTTGAGGATCTAGTTGGAGCAGTTTGGAGTTTTCTGTTTATTTTGGAGAAGAGAAAGTCCGTCACTGTTTGTTCATCATGTCTTTAACGAGTGAAATCCTTTTTGGAGAAAGAAGTGACATTCCTGATCTCCTGAAGGCCTTGGCTGAATACCCCTTCTCTTTTCCAGCCTTTGATGACATCGGTGAGTTACTTTAAATTGCATTTATTAATTATTCAATCAAAAGAGAAACTCAAAACGATCCATTGTTTTATATTTCTCCTTAATGTACACTTTTACTTACATATTTAGCTGCGTTAGAGCGATTAAAAGCTTAACTATGCATTATAATTTAAAATATGTTTGGTTATCAGAATAAAATGTGTGCCTGCATATCAGGGGTGATTATATTAATCGGATTATAAAATCATGGGTTAAATCTACCCGACAGTAGAATTACACTGTAACAAACAGAAGGCTATCTTTTTGTCATAGTTTGCTCACAATAAAAATTGTTTGTAAAAAGAAACTAAAACTAATGTGAATGCTGGAACAAAAAATCTTAATTAAATTTGCACATAGATTGTCATGGACAACTGATAAAAGATTGTGATATTCACAGTCTGCCATCTTCAGTTTGAGAAAGGTCAGAGCAAAATGTATCATACATTGTTTATATATATATATATATATATATATATATATATATATATATGTATGTGTGTGTGTGTGTGTGTATGAATTATCCATCCTACTACTGTATCCTAGGAAAAAAAAATAAATTGGGATTAAATCACACAAATGTATGAATGAATAATTCAAGCTGCTAAAGTTGCTAAAAAAAAACAACAACTATTGAACTATTACAAATATTTCCAATTATGAGGGTGGTTTCAGCACTGGATAGCTCCCCAAATTGTGTCAGATTAATAATTCCACACTGCCACATGGGGCAGATTGTCAAATCACATGCACAGTAAAATACTTGAAATTCACAGACATTTTGAAACTTGACACTTTTATATTATATATATATATATATATATATATATATATATATATATATATGTATATATATATATATATATATATATGCATTCTGCCATGTTTCTTTTTCCATTTCAGTAAAGAATACCCGTGGTAAATATTTTTTTTCTCTGATCCTAAGTTTTGTGATGCACGTTTACCTGGGGTCAGGCATGCTGCATTCTTTTCTGCTAGGGTTGACTAGACAATGGCCTGGAGAAAGAAAAAAAAAAACAGAATTGGTGAAATAGTCACGGGTACACAACACCTGCTCCTCTTGGCCCCATGGAAAAATACTGCTGGGAGTGGATGAAATCGTTCACCTGAAATGGGTCAAATTTTCCACACTATCACCCATGAATCTCTCAGGTGTCCCACAGAACCACCTGTGCTTTCTGTGCCAACAGGCATTTCATTACCATGAATGATCAATAACAATATCTGCATGGACCTGTATGATTTTCTCCTGGAGCAGTACAAGTAAAAAAAGAAAGAAGAGTGTTTTACAGTAAATAATATATCATAAAAGATTCATGGTTTCATTTATGCCATCTTGAAATTTATTTATGCTAAAAAACAAGTAAATGAGCTTGATTTATCTTGCCAATAAACTAACATATATGCAAGTTGCACCTTCCCAGCTGTGGTTTTCATAGCAGTTTTATGTCAAATTTTAAAATTACTAGGGACCAAACCTGTCTTTCTTGTAAGTAAGAGGAAAAGGTAGGAGCCTCCCTTCAGCCAGCTGACAGGTAATGTGCAGCCACAGGTGTGGAAGAATCAGCAGTTAAATATGTCTCAAAGGTTGGTCCCTTCACCACTTTTTTTTCAGGCAATGACTTAAAAGCACTTAATATTCGCAAAAATATATTTCGAAGGCATTAAAAAACATGGTGCACTGGTCTTTGAACTATTTGCTTTTTATATGTTTGTTTTTTACAGCATCTTACAGGATTAAGGCAATTAGATCTAAAGTAAAATGCATGTTATTCACCCATTTAAACATTGAAATCAAAGTTTAATGCAGGGATTGATATTGTCTGATCATATGCTACTTTTGTAACGTTGACATGGTTTGAGGGCTGCTGTGTCCCTGTTAAGCATTCATGAACAGCTGCGTGGAGTCCTTTCAGCCTAACTTGTTTACCAGGCTGCTATTATTAACGGTGTAAACAGATACAGGGAGTGAAGGTGGGCCGGACATTGTGAACCCTACACCTTTCGGTTTGAGAGAGAACGTGACAGGTGTTCAAAAATAAAGGCGTGTGAAAACGTGAGGAGTCCTTCCATCTTTTATTTAAACAAATATATTTGGCCTACTTTTTTTACGGCCTCTGTGTGCTTTAAAGGAAAACTTTTTTTTATGTGGAATTAAATATATGTTTTGGGAACTAAGAAAATAAAAATAAAAATTCACATGAATCTAAAATTATATAGAGCAGAGGATGCGGTGTGTCGCGCTCCCCAGCGCGTGTCCGCTGTTTGCTAAACGCTCGGGCACGCGCGCTCCTGCTGATGTTCTCGTTGAGCCACACGTGCGGAGGATTCGAAGCCACGCCCTTCGAAAAGCCTGCGCCCTCACGTGCGCGAGGGTGGGGGTGAGCCGCACGTGTTTGTCCGCGAGTGTCCCGTTCTCAGAAGAGAAGTGGGGCAGACGTTTCCTTCGGGTGGGGGCGGGGGGGATTTGCTGACATTCAGCTGATTGGCTGAAGCTGCTCCATCCGGAGGCTACCAACATTTGATACTTACAGTGCGTCACTGTCTTTTCAGGGCTTTGACTATTGTTTGGCCTCATTTAACTCTTATTTCCATTTTCTTTATCTCATAATAGTCCAGTTAATTACACACTCTAATTAATTTTAAATAAGTATTACGTGTTTAATTCTATTTAAATGTTGTTATTGTATATTCTGGCCTGAAGAGCCACAGTAATTAATCGTACTAATGCATATTCATATCCGTCCGCGGCGAGAACCAATCAGCTTCTACTATTCTTTTAGTGGGCGGGACAAACTTCTCATGAATATCCAATGAGCGCGCTCGGTGGGTACGCACGAGGAGACGGCTGTGAACTCTATTAGACACGTCTTATTATTGATAAAGAAAGTCCAAGATTAGTTGCGGGAGCAGAAAACGTGGAAATCCGTGTTTTTTTTTTCGCCGTGGAAGTGGATCTAGCACTTGCTAACTAATCAGCTACCGTCTCCGCGGAACCTTGGCACCGAACAATGCCTGGCAAAGCAGCGGTGTCAGTGGCGCTCCCAGCCGCAGCGGCTCCTCACAAGTCATATCCTTTTGTTTTAAAGAAAATCATGGATATCCCACCTCCTAATATCCTGGAGGAAGGAGACGACGGTAAGCATCGGATGGCAATCCGCTCAGATATTGGCAGGGATTTCATTTTAGGGTCGGACTGCATGTTGATATATCTCCAAGAATTTATCAAGCCAAGTTTTGATCATAATTCGATTTTTATAATACGATGAGTGTTTAGGATGGAGTTGGTTTTAAAGCCCTGTATGTTGGAGCCTGTTTCATCCAAAGCTGGGAGGAAGCGTGAAAAGAACAAAAAGTTCCCACTTCTCTGAGCTGGTCTGAAGCTAATGAAATCCCACAGTATGGACATTTACAGAATGAGGAAATGGCTTTTTAAAAAATCCAACTCATAGTCAAGATGTTTGTTTGTTTTTCCAGTTTGGATTGAGTGGTTTTGTTTCTTGGTTTGCTTATGCGGAACATCCATCTTCTGACTTCCGTGACGCCCCATGCTGTAATGTTCCACTCCCTCATCACAGGCAAACTATTTGGTTATAATCCTCCTTTATTTACATGGCTGTAGACTGTGTGACATCATCCCTGTTCACTTAAGGATTTACATTTTCTGCTCCACACACACAAACACACATAAATATATATATATATATATATATATATATATATATATATATATATATATATATATAGCTTTAATCATGTCTTTACACATTTCACACAAGGCAATGATCAGAGCTGCTTTTGGAGCAGATTTCTCTTATCTTTATTTTTGTTTGTGTGTTTAATAAAAACCCACATTTTCTATGTGAGCTTTATTGTATCCTGCATGACTCCAGGAAGGCATGCAGCAACAGATCATGAAAATGTGGGAACTATAAAACCAGAGGCGTTCCTAGACCAAATATACCAGGGGGGGCAGGGTGGGATCGGTGTTTTCTTTTCTTTTTTTCTTTTTTTTTTTTGTCTTGGGAGCATAGGAAAAAAAACAGGAGAAACAACAAATGGATAAAGTTATTTCATTTAGTATATAAAGTAAACCAAATATTCATTTTCAGCCCTGGTAACCTCAGATCTAGCAAATGAAAAGTGTAATTCTATCTCATTATGATTGAAACTAAAGGTGCAACAAATACATTTTTTTTTTTATTATCAATAAAATAAAACCGTAAACAAAAAATGGTCCAAGGGACCTATTTGTTGTGGTTTCTGTTCCAGCACATATAATTTATTTACCAAAGATTTATTTTGTATTATATCTTAGCTCCAGGGCCCCTGTTGCCCCTGTGTTGGAGCGCCCGTGCATAAAACATATGAAAAAGGATCCGGTCAGACAGATTTTATGAAATATTTTTAATAATTTAGATCCATGTTGGTTTAAAAAGATAAAGACTTGTTGATAACATTTAGCAATGTGACCAATGGATTGTCATACAACATCTGTGACACTCACAGTCATTACTTTTTTTAAAATCAGTTATTGTAATAAGACTGGTATAAAAAAAGTTTAGACATCATTTATTCATGCTTATTTTGTGTCTTTTGGCTCATCAAAAGCCTCCCAGCTTTAAATCAGAATCAGAAATACTTTAATAATCCCAGAGGGAAATTACTTTTGTTACACGTAATCTCAACCCTGCTGAGACCAAAACAATTTTTTTATGGTTCCACCCCAGTATTTAAGGTAAACTTTTTTGGAAGCTTCTTTTATAACGTCGTTAACTTCTTTTTCTTTTCTACTTGATGCAGAAATCGAGAAGGAAAAGCAGAGCTCCTCTGAGGATGTGGAGGGAGGTGGCACCGTGGCATCCAGCACTGGTGCCGGCACCAGAGGAGGTGGAGGAGGTGGAAGCGGTGGGGCTGCAGGAGTCTCAGCCTCCCTGACCCCGGCCATTTGGGAGAAAACCATTCCTTACGACGGCGAGACCTTCCACTTGGAGTACATGGACCTGGATGAGTTTCTCCTAGAGAACGGGATCCCTGTGAGCCTGGAGGAAGAGGAGCTCCAGAGGACTCTGACCTCAGTGGACCCCAAAGGAAAACCCATTCCCAAAGTGATCGCTTTGGCTGCACCAGCCTCTGCACCGGTCGCCGCACCCCCAGCTGCTGTCACCGAAGTCGTCCCGGCACCGCCTGCACCTTCTCCCTCCGAGGCCACTTCTGATGCAGAGGAGACCGTGACGGTAACTACGCTGCAAACAGCCAAACTGGAGAAGGAGGAAGAGGACGAGGAAGATGAGGAGGAGGATGGACAAGAGGAGGAATCTTTAGCTGAGGAAGCCCCAGCAGAAACGGAAGTGAAAAAAACAGGCAAGTATTTCAGATTTTTCAAAACATCAGCTACTATTGAAAGGATTACTTGTCATTTATAATCAAGCAAAAAAACAAAACAAAAAATCTACAAAAAAAACACGTTTATTTAGTGTCTTAAACATAGAGTATTGGGGAATGAAGAGTTTCTTTGTCTCTTTAAAGCCTTGCAGGTTTTAGTAATTATGGACTCACACAAGTCGCAGCTCAACAACTTTAAAAATTCACAGAATTCAATCTTTGTTACATCAAAAATCTAAAGTTCTTAAAGTTGATATTAAACATCGACATAAAAAAAAGACCAAAAAAAGTTTATTGTCCTAACTTATAAAAACGAAATAGTGAGAGAAAACCAATTTCCACGTAAGTTATTAGTTAAAAAGAAAAAGTTTTACCAAACTATTGTTGCTCCCATCGCCAAATTCCTTGAAGGTATTTTGTTTGCGATTTATGTGATACAGTAAAACATCAGGGGTACACATGAGATCTTTAAAGTGGGGTTAGATTCTCAAACGTAATCCCAAGATTTACAATATTGTTCAACGATAACAGACAGATTTGTCAGATGAGTAAATAGATGCAGCTAAATAAAAACACCTGTTAGTCTGCAAAAGATATGAAACTGAGGTGGAGGTGAGAAACATGCAGCCAGAGCTTCAGGGGGAAGCTTTAGATCAAAAATATTTTTATTTGAGGACAGATTTATACCAGTTTTCTTTTTATTTCTAAATTAATTGTCTTCTTTCCTCCTCAGTTTATATGTTAACATAAATCCATAATAAATGCATCATTTTTTAAGGCATTTTATAATAAAATTCTTTAAGTCTCATGTATTCATAGACTTACTGAAATGTTGATGTGACTACCGGTATTAACGTCTTTGTCTTTCCCCCTACAGAGCGAAACACGCCCTCCCCCATTGACCCAGACGCCATTGAGGTGGACATCAATTTCCAGCCTGATCCCACAGACCTGGTCCTGTCCAGCGTTCCCGGTGGGGAGCTGTTTAACCCCCGCAAGCACAAGTTCTCCGACGAGGAGCTGAAACCGCAGCCCATGATCAAGAAAGCCAAGAAGGTGTTTGTTCCCGATGAACAGAAGGTAAGGTTTGTTAATCTGAGGCCTCTTTTTGGATCCCTTATTATTATTTGTTAAGGTGGATAATTTAATTAGTTTCCATTTGGTTAATTTCTAATTAGTTAAGCTTAATTTATTAAAATTCAGTTAGTTTATTTGGCATGAAATTAGAACAAAGGATTATTTTACATACAATCAAATCATCTTAATTATATTAAACTAGAAATACTGATGGTTAAAAAGGTCTTTATAAAGCTAGCTGCATGCATCTAGTTGCTGACTCTGTCTTTCTGTTTTTACTGATCCTCCAAGGATGATAAATACTGGTCCAGGAGGAAGAAGAACAACGTTGCAGCAAAGCGTTCCCGTGACGCGCGGCGGCTGAAGGAGAACCAGATCACGGTGCGAGCCTCCTTCCTGGAGCGGGAAAACGCCGCACTGAGGCAGCAGGTCGCCGAGCTGCGGAAGGACTGCGGGCGCTGTAAGAATGTCTTGGCGCGCTACGAAGCCAAGTACGGCCCCCTGTAAACCAAACAGAAATATTAAAAACAAGGACGAGATAAACAGAAATGTAGAATCCATGAAGCATCTATAAGACCGAAGCAGAACTCCCTTCCCAACACAAACCTAAATTTGCACTGTAAGTCATCACCAACCTTCAGTCACTGCGTCGAGCTCCAGCTGACGCTTCTCAACATGATGCTGGAGTTTTTTGGGACACACACTGGGAGGTGGTGGGGGTGCGATGGGAGCGGTGGTCGATGGAAGGCCTGTGGAGAGCGCCTGGCTCCTGCACTGAGAGAAGAGGTGGACTATTGGGGGAAGAAAACGCAGGTTTAGTCCTGGAGAGGTCCTAAAATAAAAAACAAGAGGATAACACACACTGGTTCTAATAGGACCAATGCAAAAAAAGACTCAATCAGGCTAAATAAACGAGCAAGGGTTAGATTCATGGTGGCACTTCCAGCTTAAAGACGGAGGGAGTGGAGGAGGGCGGAGTGGGCTGTCCCAGTTCTTCCCTGTGTACACACTAACACAGCATCTGAGACATCTGTGTGTATAAACAGTCGGTTTTCTGTACTGTCGTGTTTAGTGTGTGTTTGGCGTGTGTAATTAATCATTGCACTTTTTCCTTTAAAGAGAAAACTCACACACCCTCACGAACACATGTCCTGTGTTAGAGCAGCTAGCAGTTAGCCGCCTTGTTCACCAGAAAACCAGAGAAGGGGAAAAGATGGTAGCTTCCATGTGGGGTTATAAAAAAAGAAGCATGACCTGCATTTTAAAGCTGCTGTGATTTAATGTTTTTCCTTTTTTTACTGATCTCAGATCAGCTGTCAGAGCCTCTTAAAATATATATGTATATATAGGAGCGGTGGGTGAAAATGAAGACTAATTGAGAAAGAAAGTCAATTAGATGGTCTAAGAGTGACAAACCCAAAGGCCCTCACCTGTGGAGGGGTATGTCTGTATGGAGAGATGTTTATTTTACTGCACATTGTAAGTAGGGGGCGCTAGAGTCACCGTCTCCCAATCAGAGGCGCAGTGACAGGATTGATTTATTTTCCGTTTTTTATTTTTTTTTCTATTTTCTAAAGATGTAGCTAGGGCCCAGAGCCTGTGTGCTTGTACATATTTGTGTATCAGGGTTTCTATTCTTTAAAACAGGGACTATGCCTGTGTCTTTGGTAACTTGGTAATATCTCAACACTTTCCTAACAATAAGTGCTGTATTCTTTCTGATGGTAATAACATCTGTTAACTGTGATGTATAAGAATATGCCATAAGAATATATCTATTTTTCCTTTAAGAAACAGCTATACTATGAAACCAATGACTGACCAGGGAGTTTAATCGTTTAACTGTGCTTTTAAGGCGGATTTCATCATGTGTTTGTTGTGAAGGTGTAGATCTCTGTTTTACCGTCTCCTACATCTATCAGGTCCAGCCCCAGGTTCTAACTAGCACTTGATCCAGGATGTTTACTGTATATTTAACAGGATAGAATCCATGAATACAGAAAAAAAATCTTGCAGAAGAGGAATCTAAATTAAATGAGGGGTAAGCTTCAGTTTTCCTCATTTAGTCGGGTAATCGCTCCCTTTGCATTCTAGAATCAGAGTTTAAGTAAATCTATCAAACTCATTTATATGAATATTTCAATTAGTTTTTTGTTTTTTTTAAACATAAAATTATGTTCTAGTAATTTTGAAACTGAAAAATCTAATTTAGAAGGTAGCCTTTTACTCCTAAAAATCTCTTAAGCTGTAAGCAGTGAGATATGTAAAATGCTCCTAGACGCCCCCTACTGGCCTGATTCTGCAAAGCATTGGCTAGATTTGCTTTTTCTGGGGCTGGCTATGTGGACCCGCCCTCTCTGATTGGACAGATGTTTAGCAGAGCTATAAAAGTTAGATTTACTGAAGGTAAAATCACATTAAAGCAGGTTGGTTCTCACTGGTAAAAATTTGGTTGAGTTCTTTTTTTGCCAAAGTGGCTGGGCCTGTTTCTATTTCAACCTCACAGACTGTTAGGGATTTCTACATTTTGTAATTGCTGGTTTGGGCTCCATGTCACCTTATTCTTGGAAAGATAATAAACGTGGCAATAATAGTCTGTTATGTAATGCCTGTTCATTTTAAATAATAATGTTATCTGTAAAATTTGCTATGATGTACTGAAGTCCCAAAGTCATTGTGCTTCCAGTTTCTGGTCCTCTTTCCTTAAGGATCCAAATGCATGAAACCCAGTAAGGCTTGTCTTTATTTTCTATTGTTAATCTCACACCAAGTGTACTTATGTCTGTCAAACCATCACTAAAGATAGGATGTGTTTTTCGATGCCTAGGATAATTGTTCTGTAAAATCAAATAATTATAAAAAAAAAGGCCTCTGCTTATCATGGACATGACAGCACCATCTGTTCAGCTGTTCATCTTTTTCTAACTATTATAAGAACGGACTCCTATTTACTGCAGATTGAATTATTTCTGCGTTATACACTGGATCAGGTGGTGCTTTATGTGTTTTCATAAAGATGTATAAAAAAACATTTTAGGCATTGTGCATTGTTTTCTTTATGCCTTTTGAACAGCTTTGAGTTTTTTATTAAATAAAACAATGTTTGGCTTTAAATTAGTGAAAATCTAACGTCACCTTGATAACCATAGGGTTAAAAATTAGGAAAATATGTTTTACAGAAAATGCCATACTAGGTATATTTTATTCTCATGTTAAGCACTTTAATAAAGATTTATAATGTGAGAAATTAAATGACTTTTAACAAGTTACCAATGTTCGACTTTACACACATTGAATCTTGAATTTTTATTTAAAAAGAAAATAGAATGCAATTACAGATTTAGTAAATGGAATTTTTACAAATCGATTTAACCAAATCTTTTAAACTATTTTTTAACTCAAGATCTTCAAAATAGAGCTTATTTATCATGTTCTGAAAAGCAAAATAAAACGAGATTAACAACGCTAGCAGTGGATAATCTGGCTGGGTCGGCTTACTTTATCAGTCTGTAACAAGTTAAACCCTTCATCTGCATCAGTTCATTATCGTTTACTCTTCATAGTACCTGGAAGTACTCCTGAAAGAATTTAATGTGTTTTCCTTTCTTTTTATACAAACATGTTTTTGTAATCCCACTATCTGATACATGAAGCTGTAATACTATGTAACTGTATTTGTTAAAAGCATACAAAATAAAGTGGACTTTACTGACAAGCAGACTGGCTGTATCCTCACCTGTCACCAACCGGCTGCAGCATAGCAGGCCCAAGGTATAAGCACATTAAGCTGCTGCTAGTGGAACCCAGACCAGAAGAGGGCGCCCAAGTCCCCCAGAATCACAGTTCATTTAGCATAGGGACATCCCGACGTTCCTGTTGGATGCCTATACAGATTCCCAAAATCCTTTGTGAAAAATGACATATAGAGTCACAGCACAAAATGTTAACAAAACTACATTATTTTGGTAAATTTATTCAGTTTGGCACATGGAAATGATCAAACCCTTTTTTAGTTTTACTATAGAGAGCTTCAACTGTCCGGTAGGTGTGTAACTTTGGTAGTTCTTTATATTTAAAAGCTGCGATCCAAATTTGACAAGCATCATCCATGTTTCTGTTTTGTCAAGGAGGATGATGGCTGTTTGGATCTGGTACGGCAGTCCGGGAGAAAGAAATAAGAGCCAGGAATAGAAGCTAGGCAATACAAATCGGGGTCTATTCATATGTGTGAACAATAAAGGAAAATGTTCACATAAAATTTGTAAAGTGCGACGTGTCACAGTTGTTTGAGACATGATTCATAATGAGATATGAATCATCAAAAGTGCTCATAAATAGTCGCAACCATCACTGCTACATACTATATTCAGTGCAGGAGAGGATGTAGCTGAACTTCCTCTAACTACCGTAATTTTCGGACTATTAGCCGCACCTGAATATAAGCCGCAGAAGCTAAATTTCATTATTATTTGTATGTATACAAGCCACACTGGACTATAAGCCGCAGGTTTTTTATGTTTAACACAAACTGTCTTGCGCTCGCAATGTCTGTCTTTCTTGCTGTCGTTCTGTCTCATACCACTCGCAGTAAAAGTCTGCTTCCGGAGGACCTCCACATTCCCGCGTGCGGCTACCGTACTTGCGCGTTGAAGCAAATGTGACGTCAACATGGTGGATGGTAAAATCCATAGATTTAGGTATTACCCTAGTGGCCGTTAGCTGTAAAAGTCCATAGATAAGCCACATTGTTATATAAGCCGCAAGGTCGAAAAATGGGGAAAAAGTTGAGGCTTATCTTCCGAAAATTACGGTACCTCAGTAGAAAATCCATCTCCAGGTGGTTTTTCCTTGTATTTGGGAACGTATAAAATCTGACCCCTGAATAAATAGGGAATATATACTTTTATGGATGTCCCTTTTTAATTAAAGTAGATTTCATTAAATGTTGGCTTTTGATGTTCACAACTGAATATTGACAGAGAAGAAGAACAGGCACAAGAGGAGGGGTCCGGCCAAGTATGCATTCAGTAGTTACTTTAAATCAGGTATTGCATATTTTCAACTAACATAACCACAATGTTTGAATGAGAGTTAAATTATTTACCCCAGGCTGGCTTTAAAACAAAAACCGACTAAATTTAATTTGAAAAAGATCTTTAGCAGGGAAACCCTGCAAACGACCAGTTCATGAGTCATGCTACATTCACACCACAAGCAGCAGAAGCAGCTGGTTCACATGGTAAGTCAATGGTTGACGTGCATTTTGAGCAGCAGGAGCAGTGTGTCGTGAGCTTCTGAGCATCTGATGAGTGCAATGCGCTTTAGAGGCATCAGCTGCTGGAGTTGGAAAAATGTAACTTTAGCTGCTCGACACGCCACATCAACCAATCAGAGAAGCTGATCTGGGAGCTGGCAGGGAGACAGACACAGCGCTGCTGATGCAGATCGCTATGATCACTCCTCTGAAACAGTTAATTAACGCTTAAATTAGAGTAAAACATCGACACCTGCCAGAAAAATATGTTCGATTTTATTATTCTGGTGCCTTCAGTTTGGATTAAGTACGTAAAAAACACTAACATCTACTTCCAGCCGCTGCAAACAGTAATGGAAAACCGCCAAGATGTGACGGAGCCAGAAGCTGCTGTTGAACGGGATGCCTAGTGACAGCACCGCCGGTGTATGGGGTTGTGAGCGGCTCAGACAGGGAAATAATATTTAGGCATCTTGATGAACTGACTGCACAGATTAAGTTTTCAGGTGGACTTTCTCACTTAAAAACTTGTAACATGATCAAAACTTTAAAACTACTTTTTAGCCACTTCTAACAGAACATATAGCTGCCATTGTAACAGGCAAAGGAAGGACAGGGTAACACCGCCCAACACGCATCAGACCCACTTTACAACAGTGCAGCCAAGAGCAGCAAAGATGCTTCAGCCGCGCCCCAGAACTAAACTTGTACAAGCATCAAAAATCAAGCAGCATGCGCGTTTTAGCTGCTCCTGCTGCTTGCGGTATGAACGTGTTCAAGCAAGGAGCATCTAGGACCTGATTTGTCAGTCCTTACTTTAAATCACTTTAAAACTCCATTGTTGTCACAAGGTGCTGCACATAATATATATTATGAAAATAAAAAAATAAAAAAAACAGGTATAAATATTTAAACCCTCATTCTTGTAGAAATTCAAACCAATGCACTGAAAATCATAAGCCTTGTGTATTTACACAAACCCAAATCTCTCTTTAATGTGAAATGCTTTTTCCACTTTCTTTGGAACATTTCTGTGAAGCATCACTGTGTGAAATAAGTCGTCTTTTTAAAGAACAAAACTTTAGTATTTGAGGACAATAACTTGGTTATTCACTGCGGAAATCTAGAACAGACTTGATTTTTTCTGATTCTAAATTGTATTATTTTTGTGTGTGTGTAAATAAAGAAAAAATATAATTTTTCCTTAGTTAGTTAAATATAAAGTGCTAACTTTTTCTTTCTACTGTAGCATAATAATTTTATTTGGGTTCATATCTTATTCACAGTGATTATTTCCCAAATAATCTTGTTAAAAATGTATCATATAATTTTCCACGAGAGTGATTTAAAAACAACTTGCATTTCGATAATTTATACTAGCATACATAACCTTATATTCTAAGCACAGTTCCTCCTCAATAGAGAACGTAAATAAACTAATGTGATTGTTAAAAAAAAATCAGTTTAAGGAATTAATTTGCTGTGTTTCCATTAATCATCAAATTGCACAAATTGATTATCAATTTGCTAAATGGAAACTGCAATAATAAAAAAAGCTTGCCTTTTGATAAAAAAAATAAATTCTTAATTTTTAATGGTGGTTTTTCAGTTGCATCTAAATGATTAAATTTCATAAACCCTAATGCAAAACTTTTTGTGCATCGCACAAGTCACGTGATCTGCCGCTGGAACCAACTGCCTAATAAAGATGAATACCACAATTAGCTGCAGGTTGATGACGCTGTATATTTGGATCCATGGGCAGACTGAATATATTTTTATTATTAGAGTTGGGGCTAAAACATGGATATATATCTGAAGTGTACACGTCAGCTGCCATGTTGTTTTCAAGAGTTATCATTTTAATAAACGTACTCATGTGACAATTCAAACCGCATTTCTTATTTAATGGAAATACCAAAACTGGGAACATTGAAAAAAGTTTGCACATATCTACAATGAAAACAGACCTATTTTTGCCTTTAAAAAAATTCCTTTGCAAACCATAAATGCAGGGGGAAGTTGCTCAGGGCCCCATTCAGCCTTGGGTCGGCCCTGGTCCAGGAAAACAAAGGAACACTGGATAATAAAGAGCCTGCTTTTGTCAAGAGTATAAAGGCTACATCTTTAAACCTTGATCAGCAGAGCGCGACCGTGCTGAGCAGGTACTTGCACGCACATACAAAAAAAAAAAAAAATCTCCTTTCATCCATCAGGCAACTGTTTTTCCCCCTTTCTTCTCGTTTCAGGGCTGCAGCTCATCAGTATTCCAAAAGAGTAGAAGATGTTGCGTAATGATCACATCAACACACGGTGGAGCTGTGTTGCATAACACCAGCAGCCTAAAAGACGGGCGGGATGGGTGTGTGTCTGTGGAGGATGAAGGAGATGATTGGGGGGAAGAAGTGATTGGAGGGAAAACAAGAAGAATCAGAAGGGAAAAAAGGAAAGACAAAGAAACAGAGAAGCCTTGTCTTGCATGTTAATGCCATACCAGTACATGCTGCAAGTCCCCCCCATCCCTCAAAAGGAGGCAGTTGTTTGGATGGTTTTGCAGAGACGGTGATAGGAGACAGGCTGACTATCAGAGAGCAGGCTGATGAAATGTAAAGTAATATCTGCTGGGATGAGTCCAGCTGATGTGGGTGGTGAGCAATCTGGCTGCTCACCATCTAAGAATCCCATTTTTGCTTTGAATTATTGATCAAACATGGCTTGAATTTGTTTACTGCAATATAAAAGACTCGTTCCACTGCCGCTTCAATCAATCATCAGCTTTTCCCAGGAATCAGCCTTTAAATAACATCTGATCAAACACAACAGAAAGAAGGACAAGAGGGGTGGGCGTTCGTTTCCATGCTTCTTTTTATTGCCAGTCTGCTTTTTTATTATAAACTTAAAAAAAGGAATCTGATACAATAAGAAACTGCAGTAGTAACTCCCCGCTTCCCGAGGGGCGGCACAGAAAACAGGTCATTGCATTTCGGTAGTGAAAGGTTCATCGGACATCTACAGGGTGTACAGATCAGATACAAAAGAGAAAAGAAATGATCCAGTTCAGGGAGGAAACAGCACTATTTATACATCACTTCTTAATCTATATATATATTTTTACTTTTACATGTTAAAGTTGACTTAGAAAATAAGATTCTTTTATCACAATTAAATAGTCCCAGGTGCAAAATAAACTGCACACAGTGGTACAAGCAAAGGACATCAGAATAGAAAAAAATATTCTCATCCATCTTTGTTAATCACCAACCCTGCTTTTAGAGCAGCCTGCATTTAAACATCAGCTTAGAACTCCCCATACCAAAAATAAACAGTAAAGGGAATAAAACCCATAGGTTAAATTTGTTTTTTCATAGATGCTGCTAAAACCAGGCTGCTAAAACCAGGGTAGATGATTAGATCTGGACCACATTCATCCTACATTTTATTTCCTCCATCCTCCAACATCTTTAACTGCATCTTTCTACTGAAAGCGATTACTGGGGTTTGTTTTCTAGGGAGCAGAGAGGTAGGGAGCCCATGAATCTTAAAGGGCGGTGTAAAAATTATGGCATCAGGCTGCAGTGCTGAAGGACGATCAGTGTGAGCAGAGAGGAGCAGGGAATATGGCTTTAGTTTGAGAACCTGAAAAAGGTCCTGGCTGAGCGAGCAGAGAACAATAAAGATGTTCAGATTTTTCCTAGTAAAATAAGTCCTGTCCAAGCACAGCATTTACTCATAATAAATGCAGTGGTCTCCAGTAGAGTCAATAACCCCTTTTAACTTTTTGTCACTTTAATAAAAACCTCATTGAATTTTGGGGGATTTAATGAAGCAGACTATGTTTAGAAGAGATTAAAATATGCATTGCTCCCTTTTCACACCATCCTCATGGTGAAACATGGTGGTGGAAGCATCATGCTGTGGGGAACTTAATGAGAAAAATTGATAGATCCAAAAAAAAAAAAAAAAAAAAAAAAAGGGGGAAAAGAAAAGTTACAATCCTTCAAAAATAAACCTCAGCTGTCCAGATTTTTGGTTTTCTTTCAATAGTTGTATCATCTACCTCAGGGGCACAGAGAGTCATATCTGTAATATTTCTGTCTGCAGCCCCCCCCTCACCCACTGTAAACGGTCACTTCCTAAAAGCCAAACCCAAGAAGAGAATACATTTACCCGTCTTATACGAGACAAATACTGTACAAGGTACAATTCACATTCAATACTTTATTCTGTACATCTTTATTTTTGTCTCAGTTTGCATATATTCATACTTTTTTTTGAAAAGAAATTATAAAAAGGAAAATTCAGTAGGTACAAAACTAAAGAATTTGAACATGAGAACTTTATATATTTACACACAATCCTGCAGTCACAATCCCTAACCAATAGAAGCGGACAGGGTTAATATGAAAAAATTTAATTACAAATAACAAAAAAAATACTGAATGAGGATGATTAAGTAAAAAAAAAAGAAAAAAAAAAAGAGGGGTCCTTATGCCAACTTAATCAGAAATATGAAAAAAAAAAAAAAAAAAAAAGATGGCTACACCCCAAGAAAAACACTGTTAAGAGGGAGGTCAAAAGGGTTCACCATATCCTTTTCTAATGCAAAAAAAAAAAATAAAAAAGTAGTTTAGGCTAATATTATCCTTCAACCCATCTAATGTCTTCTGAATAAAAATGTGCAACAACCAAGCAGAAGCTGAAAGGCAGGTTTAGTGCCGACGGCTGCAGTGACAACAGGAGACCCGGTGATAAAGTGCTGAACTACTGTGACATGCGAAGGTTAACCTTTCCCTGCGGTAACCGATGACAACACACAATGCCAGGAGAGTCGCATGTCTGACGCCCTCTCTGACAAAGCCGTGCAACACACTTCACTGCAGCTGGGGAGGAACTGAGCACCCTGGACTGTACGGTCGGCTTTCCTTTTTCTTGCAACAGCTTGAGAAAAAAAAAAAAAAATGGAGACAGCAGGAGAATTTCAAGGAGGAGAGAAGAGAATGGTGTAGTGTTTTTAGTTCACCACAAACGTGCTCTGGGTGTCAACTCGACGCTTCCCTGAGCCAGTGCACCCTGGCGACTAACGCGCATCTAGAAGTTTCTCTACGGTCTCCCTCCCTCTTCTTCCATGCAAAGAAAAACCTCTCCTTCATAGTCAAAGTCATGCTAAGCCATTTATCACAATCCCTACTGCTTAGCTGCTGCACCCCCACCCGCCCCTCACCCGTTCACCTTCACACACTGCTGACTGGAATATCGTGCACATCGATGCATATGGTGCAATTGTGTCTGCACACTTCCTTGTGTTTTTTTCCCTTTAAACAAAGAGGTAACATTTAGTTCACCTTCTAATTCAGCCGTCTTTCACATTCAGAGCTTCCCTCCAGCAGATAAAATACATTCTCCAACGCTGCTCTCTCTCCCTCTGCCTGCCCATCATTCATTCCCGCTCACACAGGCGTACCAGCGACTGATAACAGGCTTTCGATATACATGCACCCAATAACGGAGACAAACAACCGTTCCCTCGATCGAACCATAACAAAACGAGGCAGGACGACACACAGACAGCAAAACAACCCCCCCCTTCTCCTGTGTATTTGTGGCAAGTAGGGCAGAGCAGATTGCGGAGCAAAGTGCTGAGTTTTCCACAGCAGTCGTTCCCTGCAGGACTTGGCAAAGTCCTTTTTTCACAGCATGACAGTGCAGTGCAAAATGGAGCTGCTCTAGAGACGGGTCCTTCAGAAGGAGTAGAAAATAAATGTTTCACGTCTGAATAGAACTGGGTGCAGAAAGAATCTCGCCACCTAACCATCGATATCAATGCAAAGTGAAGGAACACGAATGGTTCCAGGAGGAGTGAAAAGGGAGATACAAAGCATAAAATGGTTAGTGGACATGTTTATTTCTCTAATCTCCGTAGCAAAACCCACTTTTGATGAAGTCAACATTATGTTTTGAAGGAAAACCAAAGACGTGTAGATTCACCCAACTCTGCCTCGACTGGTAATCCAAACAAAGGGTTAGTTAGTTGGCCAGCACGACGGGCTGGAAAGACTGGCTTGGATATTGCAGGTTGTAACTTCCTAAACCGTCAAACGCCGGTTTCTCCACGTAAGGGATTCCTGCACCGCTGCTGAGGATGCCCACGTTTTGGGCAGAAGGGCTGGCGAACGCATCAAAAGCTGGGTTGGAGCTGATGTTGTGCGAGGGTTGGAAAGGGCTGGCCTGAGGCTGCATGGGCTGGGTGTCGGCCTCAAAGTAAAAGGGGCCTGGCGATCCTGGGTAGACGAACTCTTTGGCGCTGGGGGAGAGCTGGCTGGGGATCTGACCTCCGAGGGAGTGCAGAGACAACGACAGGGGCTTGTGCTTTAGCAGCTCCGGTGCCGGGATGTTGGTGGGAGAGCGGGAGAGCATCCTTTGCGAAGGCGGCACAATGACACCGGAGCTGGCTGGTGACCCGGTGCCGCTGCACTTCTTCATTTTGGTGGAGCCGAACTTGGTGGCGGCAAAGCTTGCTGTGGTGAAGGTGATGGGTTGTGGACGGGCTGGAGGGAGTGCTGAGGGGGCCTGCTGAGTGGGGAGGTAGGGTAACACACCGCTGGGAGGGGAAGGGGTGGAAGTGTTGGAGGAATTGGCCCCAGGGTCAGTAGGAGTACTGGAGCTGGGGTAGCTAAAGAGTCCAGGCTGAGATGACAAAGGTGTGGGCGAGCTTGAGAGGGATGGCATGAGTGCCGGAGATGCTTGATTTCCAATTGGCACAAACACCTGAGCATCTGGATTAAATCCCAAACTTGTGGCCTCCTCAGCCTCCGACTCTCCTTTTCCTTCCCCATTCCCCGCCTCAGCCCTGTCACCGTCGCATCCGAGGCCTGGGGGGTCTTCTAGGTAAAGCACCTTTACCGTCCCCTTCTCTCCAATCTGGTAGGACACCTCGTACGGGTCGATCCAGACGCTGAGCTCAGCAGGGACGTTAGAACGCACCTCCTCCGTATCTAGTCCGCTTCTTTTGGCAGCCAGCTCCACTACGGGGTCACGCGGCGCCCCCAAGTGTATGCAGCGGAAAGCCGATCCCCTGAGGGGCGCATCAGGATACCAGTGGCCCTCAAAGCGGGACATCAGTATCTTCTCCAACTCCTCACCAAACAGGTCAGCTCGACGGCGAGGCAGCTTGTTGTACAGGTAGGACACAATAAAGTTGAGGGCGACCTTGACCTCTAGATGCATGGCTGCATCGGGTTAGGGCCGTGGTGGGTACTGATTGTTATAGGACGCTGATGAGAGGGAGGCAGTTCGTACCTCTGGCTTAAAGAAAAGTCGTTGAATCTTTTGGAGTCATATTCGCATCGGCATCTCAAAGGCAGGGAATGTTTTTAGGTTCTCTGGATGTTCCAGCTGTGAAGACAAGAGAACATGGTTACTCTAATGTCTCAAACAACCACAACCCTACAGCTCTGTTAGGAATTATAAGTAGCCATCATGGCCAGGTATAAAAAACAAGTCATAGACCTAATCCGTGTAAACAGTTTCCCAGAAACCACAGAACTCGAATTTAACTCTACTTTTGATTTCTTTCTCCAACACCCCCACATTTAACAATATCCATAAATACTCAAATATATCCATACAACCCATACAGGAGCTTGGAAAAGAAAAACAGTTTACACTTTTCATATCGAGTTGAGGTCAGGATGTTCCAGTAGTTTAAAGATATAGTGGAGGATTTCGCGATTTTTTGAAAAGACTTGCTCTTTCCATTTCCATATTTGCATCCATCATACAAGCTTACTTTCCAAAAGACGATTAAAAATGTTTTCCACTATGTCAGACTCACCACCTGCACGTGAAAATGGAGATAAGCACGTAGGAAGGCTTTACGTGAACATATCACCAGAATGATTGACAATTAGGAGGACCAATTATTTTGATGATCCACCCGGAAAAAGAACATCCTCCACTATACCTTTAATATTATAATTCACTATTTGAAAAATAGTTTTTATGCGTGTTCTTGACCGTATTGTATGAACACCAAAGTCTAGCCAAGTTACTGTTCTTCAAAGTATTTTGATGTCATTTTCCTTTTCCCAATCCATTTTTATTTATAAACAGCATTTACAAAAACATCCCAATTTGTTTAACCAATGAACTATACTGTAAGAAATCGGTGCAAATCAATATATAAAAACCAGAATAAAATGCCATGTAAAAGATTGGTAGGATTAGAATGAAAGCAAAAACAAACCAGCTGAAAGTTTGAATAGAACATGAACTGGTTCCATAATTTCAGAATAATTAAAGACCCATCACCTCTGCACTTTAGTCTGGTCTGGAATCAAGATAACTGATCTATAGGCAGCTGATGCTTGCCTCATCATGCTCAACAGCTGGTTGAGTGTTCTAAAATTTAAAAGCGTCATCTAGACTGAATATTCATCTCCTCAGACTATAAATTCTAAGAGAAAAACGTTGGTTTAAACCGATACTTCCTTTTTTTGGATGGTTAGCGTTCATGTTAAAGACTTTCCTATGGATGGCAACATTGGTGTTCCAGCATCTTCCAGTTAAAGATTGACTAGTTCTTTGAACGTCCCTCTATATACAAGGGTGACGTTTTGAGTCAGGTGGTTGAAGCCTTGTTCCAGGACAATGATCCTAAACGCACATTAAAACTGGTTTTGATGGATGAGGCAGCATCTGGAAAGACCATAACCTCAGTTAGAAAATGTATAGACTATGCTAAATGTCTTTGGGTCAATGTTAGGAAAGCAACCAGTTTAAATCAACATGGGCTTTAAATTCTTGTAAAGAATGTCCCTTTAAAGGGTCTACCTTCATGTTACCCGCTGTGATCTTGTTGGCCCTGTGCTTTTAGAAGACATTATCGGACTTACTAAGGTCAGAGGAGGCTAAAAAAAAAAGTGAAATCTGATACAGATTCCAGCAGTAAATGCGTATCCATATTTACTTATATCAATGATTAATTATTAACTCGATGCTTGAAGTTCTAGAGATAAACATGACTCCTTTACTGAATCAGCAGCTCTAAATGGACGATTTTACATTTCAAGCCCATCGAATGTAAGTCATGTTCATGGATGTAACAGATGCTGCCCTGTCGGGCTTCATAAATCCTGCATAATCTGAACGTGATCCCATAAAGTGCTTGTATCTTAATGCTTCAGAGTCCATTCATCAGGACTGGAATACCAGCCGAAATAAAGGCCTGCATGAAAAAAAAACAAACTCTGAAGCAGAACCAAAGCGGGAACTGTTGGATTGAAAACAGAAAATGGCACGACGTATGCTGGATGCAAACACAAGTTCCCAGCATGCACCTTAGCCTCCCTTCCTTCCTTCCTTCCTTCTCCCTCCCAAACCTGGATGAAGGCAAACATACAGCAGTTCCTCACATTTACCTCCCTGACAGATGGGGATTCAGCGGTTAAGATTAGAAAGGCGGCTCAGATTAAAGACAGTTCTAATGTTATTAGAGATAAAGCTGCACAGGCTGGCCACAAGGCTGCAGGAGCAAATGGTCTGTAGAGAAAAATGTAAACTCCCCTTTCACCTGACTTTGAAGGGAAAAAAAGCTAAGGATCAGGGCTGCATAAAAGCTGGGGCTCACCTTTTTTTGCATCATCTGTGGAACAAAAACTCATTTTGAGACGCTTCGCTGAAACCAGTTAGTGTAATTGACAGGAAGGATCCAGCATTTGCCTTACTGATGCCTTTTTTTGCACCTCAATTGATACAACCACATGTGCAGATACAAATCAAAACAGCTAGCAATTTCTGCTGATCTTTATTGTTGCAGGCTTTGCTGTTGCTAGTCTAATCAAGATCAGAGGTGTTGCGTTTGTTTACATGGACTCATTAAGGGGCAGTGTTTTCTACCAGGAGTCAAGTTAAAACACAGTCTGCAGATCATATACATTACATTAAGTGCAAGAATATAACCTTCCAAAAGGGTTTTATTGGAAGGCAGCAGTTGCATAATAGAAACTTTCCTTTAAAAATCTGGATTTGTCCCGTTTCCTCCTAGCATTATAGCAGGTTGTATAACAATCCTGCACCTTTTTTTTTTTACCTGATCTGCATGTAAAATGATAAAACAAAGCGTAGACAAAAATGCAAACAGAAGAATGAACGAGAAGTGTTATCATAAAGGTTTGCATGGACTGAGATAGAGAGATTAGTGACAGACTACTGGAACAGAGAGTACACTTAGCTGCCAGCACAACTGGATGATTCCTCTTTTTTCTCCCTTTCCAGAATTCAATTGGAAATAAAATTTTAAACCAAATGAAGTGCTGAGCAGCCTAAGGAGGATGCACCTGACCAATGACATAACACCCTCGAAGAAACATCAGCAGAACATGATGTTAAAAGGCTTCTTTTAGTCGATGTTTGACTGGAAATATGCATAAAATAGGAGGAAACAAATAAACAAACGATCAATTCAATGTCCGAGCCAAGCACAACCTCTCTTTACGGACCAAAGCTGTGGAAAAACACCAGTACATCCCAACATCGTGTGATGCACCGAGGAGAATTGTGTCAAAATGTAGACACAAAGTGGTGAACATTTACTCACCTAGCCGTGATAACGGTTATGGTGGTGATGATGTCCGGGGCTTGACCTGTCCTCCCTGGTCTCTACATTAATTCCCTCATATTATATGACAAAAATCTACGGCGGAGGCGTCAGTTCGCAGAATTACCAAGTTTACATAAAAATAACACTCTGTGTTTTCCTTCTTTGCCACCGAAGCTGTAATTTTCTGGCGTACTTTGTCTTTCGGTGACACTTCGCGTTGAACTGGAGGTGTTCGCTGAAACTTTACTGTTTGACAACCCGGCGTATTTATACACTGTGAGTCGCCCACACCCCTGTGACGAGAGGGACTACTTTTCTCTCGTCATAAATCATACAATAGCCGTTATTTTTCAATTTCTTGACTTATATTTATCTATCAAAGAGCTTCATAATATTCGTTACAGTCATATTGTCACCAAATTGTTTTCATAACAACATTAGAATAAATCCTACAAGCTATTAGATTTTTTTTTTTTTTTAGGAAATTAAGAACAGCATGTAATGTAAGCAATGGAACACACATTATAACAATTTTGGGCACTATCTTGTACGGCGGAGAGACAAATGTTTGCTGAACAGTTGTACTATAAATACTAATAGTGATAGCAACAGAGTTTCCATTGGCTGACTAGTAGGATGACCGGCAGTTGATTGGTCAGTAGCAGCAGAAGCAAATAGAATTTTTCGCAATGTCTTATGGGATATGGTGTTCCTAAAGATTTTAACACCTTTGGTTTCTGTGCGGGGCAATTTTTTTTATTTTTTTTTATTTTATCATTTTCTTAAAAACAAAAAACAAAAACAATAAACAATAAAAAAAAAACGAAAAAAAAAAATTTTTAAGAGAATACTGTTCAAAGACTCTGGCTTTTCTTTTTGTCGTTAGCGAATTTCTACAAAAGCTTTTCCATCCAGTATTTAATACTAATACTAATCTAAATATTTCTTTTGAATTTTAAGAAGTACTAAACATATTTAAACAAATATAGATTTATAATGTGGAGACCTGCAAGGAGGAATTTTGCCAGCTTCAGATTGTATTATGTTTTCATATTTTGACTACTCATAAGGTTTTTAAATAAACTTACCAACACAAATAAAATCATTTTTCTTAAATTTTGATATAAAACTGGAAATGTGTTTTTAAATACTGATGTGTATGACTTAAAAAGATGTTGGGGATTATTTCAATTATCATGTATTGAGATTAATACATATATAAACATATAAAATACATTCATTTTACATATCTTAATAAGTGATTATTTCTTAACTTATGACTATAGCGATTGTGTTTATTTTCAGCTGATATTTTCTTTTTGGTAACAACTCATAAAATATCGAGGCTCAATTCAACCATCATCGGAAACACAGGTGTTTCCGATGATGGTTGAAAGACGATGTTCACCAAAAACGAACTCCAACCTCAAATAAAGCTTGCAGACAAATGAACAATCTAAATGGCATCTGGAGGAACACATGAAGCAAATACTGAGCTATTTGCCAACAGAGACTGAAATTTTATTCGGAGGAATGTACAGGAGAATAATCCCATAGGGCTCTCAATGACTGTAAACCCTTTGCACTGATAACCACATCATGAAGGTCCAAAGGAGACTTATGTTGGTCCACCTTAGGAAGCAAGTAAGCAAACAAGCAGCTAACAGTACCCCCTGCAGTTTTTGGAGTTGAAGTTGAGGATGTTGTCATGCACCTGCTTCAACAAAACCACTTTCATTTAGAAAAGGCAGACCACACTATGAGGATCCCCTTCTTTGATTAATCCAGTAGATTTAACACAAGTAAGCCTGACTCAATCAAAAACTCTCAGGTGGAGGCATGGAAAATTGCCTGAGTAAAGACTACCTAATAAAGGGACGGCAGTTTGTGAGGCTTGAAGGGTCAGCTGGCTAACCAGGCAGTCAACCACATAGGAGCACCACAGAGGATAGTATTCTTATCCTTTTCAATCCGTACATCTCTGACTTTTAGTGCAACACAGACTCTTGTCATCTGCTGAAATACCTGAATGAGTCTGCAGTCCAGGGAAGAATCAAACATGGACAAGAAGCTGACTAACAGAGTGCAGATTGACTGCTTTGTGACATAGTGCAAAACAATCTTACCCTAAATGTGAATTAAGGAGTGGAAATGAATTTGAATTTCAGAGGAAACAGAGAGAGCATTAAAACACTATTAGTATCATGTGATAGGTAGTGGAGGTGGTGAAGTAGTATAGATACCTGGCTACTGTACTCCACTGGAGACTTATTGAGAAGCTGTCTATAAGAAGGGACAGAACAGAAGTTTTTTTTTTTTTTGAGGAAGCTAAGGTCCTTTGTTGTTGCAATTTCTTTACACTGTAGGTCTGTTAGGGAGAGCGTGACCCCATCTACCATCATCTTCTAGAAAGAGCAGCATCAGAGAAAAATATCTAACAAAGCTTAACAAGCTGATATTGAATCTTTACTCAGCTCTGGAAACTCCCCAAGAACCTCTAGAGATTATTTCACGAGATAAAATTTTGTAAAATAAGGTAAATTCTTCACAACGGTGAGCATCGTCTTCAGGAGACAGTTGAACAACAACACAGTTTCTTAGTTCAAATTCTCCAGATCTGCTCTAAGACAGACCAAAACAGGAGATGCTTCTTGTCTATAGGTATCATACCTACAACAACTCAAAACATTATAAGAGTGACAACAATTTAATTTCCCCTGAGATCAATAAAATATTTTTTTATTGAATCATATCAAACTGAAGCTGGTTTGCAACCAATAAAGAATGCTAAACATGATCTTTAGTAATTCCCTTGATGTCATCTCTACTAAAAAATATACAGACCAAGTGTGGAGGCAGGGTCTGGATTAGGAATCCAAACTCTCAATGAACCCCACCAATATGAGGGGTCAAACAAAGGTCAAACGTTTGCAGATGGGGTGGACATAAAACAACTTTCATATCATATAATAGTGGGAATGTATAAGTAGTGCACAGAATTCTTGTTTATAAAAAATAATTGTTGTCTGCTCATCTAAATTTATAAGAAAAAAATTATATTTTTTCAATACAAAACGTGCTCATGATTTATTTCTTATGTTTTCTTCATTGTTAGTAAAAGTCTAATTTTAACTGTAAACTCATTTACCATTATTTTTCATCCCTGAATAATTGCCGAAACAAATTGACTTGTTAATATTACGCATATACATTTTTTATGGAATTTTTTTTTTTAATTGGACAAATAAATCTTTATGCAGTTTGGAGTAAATAAATATAAAATCAAACAATGTCAGTGTTAAAATCTAAAATCTGAAATTTGCATCAGAAAAGATGAACAAAAATAACGAGTAAAATAGTAAATAATTATTTATTTTGAAATTATTTATTTTTAAAATTATTTATTTGTTCTGGTAGATTATTTTGATGTATTTTTTTTTTTTTACTCAGGTAATGATGACGTAATAAAAATGGGACACTCCGTGACGAAGGAACTACAAAATGGCGTCCTACTGTCTGACTGTAACCAGGCTCCGGGTAAGAAAATGTTATTTATACTTTTTAAGTTCCAGTATTAAACATGTCACCCATTGGCATGATTGACTGCAGTCAGCATTAGTCAGGCGGTGTCTGATAACGAGCCTTAATCCGCTGCTAATCGCAAGGTGAACGCAAGGTTATGTGGTTTACAGCGTGCTTTAACTCCTGACAGCTGCTGCTCACCGAGTCACATCAGGTCACAGAGAAAAACGGCGATAAGCAGCTCTAACAAGAACAGTAACATAATCTAACGACATTTAGTTTTACTGTTTCTTCCGAGCACAGTAGCACATATGCCATGAAACAATAAATAAAGTAGTATTTTTACTCTCAACACCTGTTGGACCTGCCTGTATTTTTGTCACGTGATTAAAAGAAATAGACAAATAAAGGAAGTTGTTTTGCACCGTTATACACACAGCCCTGTGTAAAATGCCAGATATCAGTGCTGTGAATAAATAACACCATTATAAAGCCTTTAAAAACATTGCAATTTAATTTAAATCTATTAGATTTATTCTGGACCATTTTACTTTCCTCCTGTGGAGTCATTCTGTTTTTCAAATTGATTTATGCGTAGCCTGATTGTTAATGTGGAAATAAAAAAAATAAATCCTTTCTTTGGTTTCTAGCTGAAGGGTGAAGCCTAAAATGACTGGTATATTTTCCTTTTAATGGCTTAATTTACCTTGATTAATAACCTTAGTTTTATCTGAAGAAAATAAATCCCGTAGGATGATTCGCCCACCTCCGTGTTTCATTGTTAAACAAAAGTTAATATTTGATTCTTTTGACCATGACACATTCTACTACAAGGTTGCTGGACATTTTAACCTGATTTTTTGCTGCAGACTGAACAGTTTTCTTTCCATCAGCCAGAATATTCTGTCTTGCAGCTATCAGTCCAGCTAGACTGAGAATAAAGGAAATGGTCGAACCATTTAGAATACAGCCTATTGGAAACTTCTTTGCGGCTTTCCTTCTCCAATCAGCCTTCCTAAACTGCTTCATTATGATCTTTAATCAATTTTAGAACAAAATTATAATTTGTTTTACTTTGTGCAAAACCGTCCTGCATTTAATAATTCTTTTTTTAAATAAAATCAGAATCTTTTGAGCAAACATTTGGCCAAATCTCTTCAATCTCCTGGCAAATTGCTAGAGTAATCCTTCTGTAAAGAGATTTTACAAACATGTTTTTTCTTAGCTGAATGTATTAATGCTCTGTTGGGTACACAGAGACCTCCGGCTTTACAGTCAATAAATCAGACAATTTTGAAAACAATTAAAAAACCTGTTTAGGATTATAACAAGTTTGATTAGAGTTGCCAATAGAGATTTTTTTTAATATTGGTTATTCAGAATGAGCATTACACATTGTTTTTTATTACGCTCTAAGTCAAAACTGTTTTGTTTTTTAAAGTTGATACTCATTTTTCTCTGTTTGGTTTTGTTAAGAGATGCCTGTCTCACCCCATATAAAGAACTAAACCTTTGATTGAATGACGATAATCCAAAAATCTGCGAGTTTGTTTTTTTTTAAGTCCACAAATTCAACATTTCTCGCATAAAACACAGCTTTACTCAATAACACATATATTATCCTTATTGCAGGTTTTAATTTAATAGATTTTTTTTTTTTTTACATAATATCATTTCATAAATTTTGTTTCGAAAGCATTAGATGAATAAGATAACAATCAGATGCACAATAAAGCTTTGAAATCCTTTCATAAAAGCCTTTCTATATACTTCTTAGAAATTTATTTTTTCTTTTTTTGTTAAAATATTTAGCATAAACATTAACAGACGGATCTTAATAGAAACAATTTGTAATTTTTTTTCCCAGCTTTGGAGTTCAGCAGATTCTTTTATCAGGCATTCAGCTCAATATTGTTTTATCAAGGCAGTTTATAAACAGGTTCAATATCTGGTTAAAGTCACAGAAATAATTGTGAAGGAATCCAGTTGGATACAGAGAAATCTTATAATTATTGACCATTACTGCTGATACCAACTTAAATATCACCAGTTTCCTTTAAGACCTGTGTCAGTTTGATAAACACTCCTGGGCCTCAATGTGGAGAATTGGCTTGTTTCTTTGCAAAGGTCAGCATTCCTACTTCTCATCCCCTCTTCCTTAACGGCATGTGACCTTCCCTCCTGCAATACCAAACGATTATTACAGAACAGGAATGTGTGCAGATCAAAGGTAGATGGTATTCAGATGCTCTCTTTAAAAGCTCTGGGTTGTAAAAATGTTTAATCCAGTCAAGGTTATCAAATTACATTTAGTTCCGTGAATGGGTGAGGCCAATCTGCCACAATATGAGCTATGAGAACCTTCCCCCAGTTTTCTCAGAGAGCAGCGACTTTCTATTGGGTCTTTAAACTGAAGCTGGAGCACAAACAAACAGCAAAGCACGTTTTAATATGCTCCTGGTCGGCCTTTGCAGTGACATGTTTCTATATAGTCCTGAGGTGTGATTGCTTGTGTTGATGCTCAAATATGCTATTTCAAAGTTAAACTATTAATTTTTCTTTGTAATTAATTTTGCAGCCCTGATTTTATTGTTATAATCTGAGTAAAATGTTTGTGGTTAATATGGAGTGTTTTACCAATGCAGCTGACTGTACTTTAACCAGCCTCATCTGCTTAACTCTATCATTACCTGACTTACTTAATAATAAAAGTGTTTTACTGTTTCTTGGTTAAAAATTAAAATATATTGTCGGTTGTGTTTTTTTCTGCTTTATGTCAACTGCTGCCTCTGTTGGTCCAGTTGGTTCTAGGAACTGGGGCAAAACGGTTTCATGCCTCCGCTGTCTTCAGTGCCAAGGCCAAGGTGGCCATGAGCCGCTTTGAGCCAGGTTCCTGCCTTGGTTATGAGAAGATGCATGAGAACATCAATGTCGTACGCAGGAGGTCAGCAGTTATCATTTACTCCTTTATAGCTCTGCTCTGATGCTTTCACACTTCTGAGTTTCCCCACTGGAAGAAAATAAAGCTATTTTCTATTCAATGCTGGAACTTTTCCTCTAACTATGGCATTTTATTGGGATTTTATATAGTAGGAAAACTTCTGTACTTGAAGAGAAGTGAGACGTTATGTGGAAATGCTCAAGTGTATGAATACTTTGGTAGAGCTCTGTAATTATCGATGCAAGCACACATTCAGTTCTTCATATTTCCTCCGATCCTTGGCTGCAGGCTCAGCAGGCCTCTGACCCTGTCAGAGAAGATTGTTTACGGCCACTTGGATGATCCAGTAGGACAGGAGATCGACCGTGGTCGGACTTACCTGCGCTTGCGTCCTGACCGCGTGGCCATGCAGGACGCCACGGCCCAGATGGCCATGCTGCAGTTCATTAGCAGCGGCCTGCCAAAGGTGGCCGTTCCCTCCACTATCCACTGCGATCACCTGATTGAAGCTCAGACAGGAGGAGCTCAGGACCTACAGAGGGCGAAGGTAACCAGACACTGAAAGAAAATAGCCTACATGAACAACACTGATGCCTTTTTGGCTGTTTATTTGTGCATTAGAATTGTACTTAACCAGTTAATGTTTTGTTGGTTAAATATTTGCAGGATGTCAGTAAATCATCCCTTTTTTTCTTCATCGTTCACAGGAAATAAATGAGGAAGTCTACAACTTCCTTGCAACTGCTGCAGCAAAATATGGGGTTGGCTTCTGGAAACCAGGCTCAGGAATCATTCATCAGGTACAGGATTTACCCAAATGGATAATAAAAATTAGTGCACGCTCTTCTTGTCTGGTTTACCTGCTCTGGTTTTATTTTTATGAATTAGATATTATGTAAACACATATAACTGATTTTAGTTTTGAAGGACATAAATTAAACTTTGCAATTCAAGTTTTTTGTGGATGATTAAATTAGTGAAGAAATATCATCCACTCACCAGATAAGCGTGTTTTTTAAAGCAAATTTTTAACAATTTGAATAAATAACTTGTACTAATTGCTGCTTGTTTAACTGAGAATGGACCCTCTGCCCAAACAGATCATCCTGGAGAATTACGCTTATCCAGGGGTGATGCTTATCGGCACAGACTCCCACACTCCTAACGGCGGCGGCCTTGGCGGCATTTGTATTGGAGTTGGTGGGGCCGATGCTGTAGACGTCATGGCTGGAATCCCATGGGAGCTTAAGTGTCCCAAGGTGCGTCTTTCAATCACTCTCTGCTATCCTTTAAATTTCTGAGGATCGTAGCTAATTACCTTTAATTTGTAATTTATGTCTCTCCATTAAGTCGCTTGTTTTACAACTGTTTTCCCAGCCTGTGTCGTTGTCCCTTAGGTGATAGGAGTGCGACTGACTGGAACGCTCTCTGGTTGGACCTCCCCGAAGGACGTCATCCTTAAGGTCGCCGGTATTCTGACTGTTAAAGGCGGCACAGGGGCAATTGTGGAGTATCACGGGCCTGGAGTTGACTCCATCTCCTGCACTGGTAAGATTAAAATGAAATTTTAAGAGATGCAAATTTTTATGTTTTTATGTGCATAAAGCATTCCCAATGGAAGAACGAGTTTAAAAAGAAAAAGTAAACTTGTGCTATTACTGCTATATGTCCTGTTGGCTAGGCTTGCTGTAAAAAATCTCCTTCTGTGTATTGCTTAGAGAATTAAAATCCTTATGTTGCCAACATTCTCACAGCAGATGGAGGCTGAAAGCTCAAAAATATACATGCAACTTAACTGTGCTGTTTAGCCTTCCTGTTATCTGCTGAAAGTCCGACTCTCACCACCTGAAAGACGAAATAATCCGCACATCACAGCTACTAAAGATTTCTTTGGAATATCTTTTCACCTCTTTATGTTTTCTCTGTCTTTGTTTTCATCAGCTGGTCATCGACCGTTTTTCAGTTTCCCACCACCTCATCAGGCTGAAGTCAGCAGAATCACTAGTAGCCAATTTATTGTTGTGTTTGTGAAATAAAATATCTAGATGATATTTTCCAGGAATGGCCACTATCTGCAACATGGGTGCTGAAATCGGAGCTACCACATCCGTTTTCCCCTACAACCACCGCATGAAGACGTATCTGGAGAAAACCGGCCGCGGAGGTCAGTGTCTTGGAATTCATCCTCAGTTTCCTCAGTCATTACTTCATGTCTTACCTTCTTTTTTTCCTTTTCCCTGTTGTATAGAAATTGCGTCAGTTGCTGATGAGTTCAAAGAGGACCTGGTGCCCGATGAGGGCTGTGAATATGACCAAGTCATCGAGGTCAACCTTAGTGAGGTGACTTGGTGCACTTTTCTTTGTTTGCTAAATCAAAGAAGAAAACTAGAGCATATTAAAATGTCTCACTTTTCTTCTGTTCTCCTCTTCCAGCTTAAACCTCACATCAACGGACCGTTCACCCCTGACTTGGCCCACCCCGTGTCTGAGATCGGGGCCGTAGCTAAGAAGAACGGCTGGCCCCTGGAGGTTAAAGTAGGTGGGTATTTGTGGCAGGCCGTATTGGCTTACATTCACCATTAATGCTTTATTCAGGGAAATTAGACACCTCAGTCTTTGTTCCTTCTCGCTGTGTTATTGACCAGACGTGTTCGGATCACGTTCCACCTCAGCTGGGGTTTTAAAGTCACCTTGAATTCGACAGTCATGTAGCCGTTATTAAAGCACAGGATTAGAATCTGCACTTTGTTGTTGGTAGTGTCGTCTCGGTCTCAGTACTCCTTGGTCTTTGCTGGTGTGGTCTTCACTAAGGTTGGGCGACATGTAAAAATTTTCCAACCGATATTTGTCAGCATAACTACTGGTAATGCTCAACATATTCGTGCACATGGCTTTGTGGGCAAGATAAACATGTCTTCTGCACAACTGGTAATATTGTTAACCACCTGCACACACTGCTAAAGCCCAATAAGGTAAACATGCTGGTTTTATTCAGTAGAAATGGTTTCCTTTTTTCCAGTTGTTCTGACTATGTTATGAGACATTATAGTGTTTTGATTGTTATTCGTTTATCTGAATGCGCAAAACAGACAGAATGAAAACCAGGTGGAGATTTTTTATTTTGATGGAAATCACACAGCTACACTGCAGGAGAGAAATCTCCTTTTTTGTTTTTCTAATGTTTAATTTTGTATTTGTTGTGATAAAAACAAATCTTTCACAGACGGAGCAGCCTGTAAACACACTAGAATTAAACGACAAAAAAGGCCAAATATTTTAGCCCTACTGTGTACCATTAAAAATAGGGTTGTGTCTTAAAAAATAAATAAAAAAAATGAGTATATCGTCAATTGATTTGTCCAGTTGCCCAACATTAGTCTTGACTAGAACACTTGTTGGATTCTCCCCTGATTTTAACTGTCTGTTGGTTTCTTTCATCCCAACAGGTCTGATCGGCAGCTGCACCAACTCCAGCTATGAAGACATGGGCAGAGCTGCGTCTGTCGCCAAGCAAGCTCTGGATAAAGGAGTGAAGTGCAAAGCCCAGTTCACGGTTACACCGGGCTCAGAACAAATCCGAGCTACCATCGAGAGAGATGGATATGTGAGTGAAAAACACAGAGCTGGAAAGTCCAGCTTTACTTTATTTATGAGACGTTATAGAGTTTATCCTCTGAAATAAATGTTCTGCATGTCACAGGCCAAGATCCTGAGTGATGTTGGAGGAATCGTTCTTGCTAACGCTTGTGGTCCCTGCATCGGCCAGTGGGACAGGTAGAGGTCTCGTTTATTTCTTAGCCTATCCAGAGTTCATCAATTCTTCCAATCGGAGGACAAAAGTTGCAGTTACAGAGCGATAGATAACCAGGATAGAGGCGAGTTGTGTCCTATTGCAGTGCGAATAGAGGTGTGCTATAAACTCAGCAGAGCAATACTGTGTTAGCATGAGAGGTTTGTGAGCCATACAGATGAGCATTAAATCGGAAGGCTCTCCAAGCAGTGGTAGAAATCAGTTGGCAGCACCTGCCTCAGGTTTAGCCATCTGAGTCTGATGATGCAGATTGCTGGGCTCTCCTAACTGTGCTGTAACTTTGTGGAAATGTCGCTTCTTTTGCAGGAGGGATGTTAAAAAAGGAGAGAAGAACACCATTGTGACATCTTTCAACAGGAACTTCACGGCCAGGAATGATGCCAACCCAGCTACTCATGCTTTTGTGACTTCTCCTGAGGTAGGACCCTGCTGAGGGGTCCACAAAAGCCGGGCATACACTCTGCGATTTATTATTATTTTTTCAATAGTTGCACACAGCTGCGGTTTCGTCGTACAGTGTGAGTTCACAGCTCACGATGTATGTTCTCACACTGTGCGACCCGACGCTCTGATGCAATCTTTCTGCTCACACCGTACGTCTAAAAACCATGTCCGACTCAGCTCCGCAGTGAGATGGCGCTACTTGGACATGTCTATCCGGAAGCCAACCCAGTAGAAGAGGAATATGAAGCTCACTAGATTGAAACGTGCTGCCTTGTCAATTTGTGCGATTTTCTGTGCTGAAAGCCCTAAAGAGAAAGCAAACAAGGTATTTGGAGAAAGACGTGGCTCAAACATGTTTGATTTTCTCCCGACCTCATGGTTCCTTATCGGGAGGTGGTCGTGAGATTGTGTACACTACACAACACACAATCAGGCTGGAAGTCGGCCCGATCCGAAAATTCTCGCACGACTGGAAAGTAGCCCCGAAAAGGGCAAAAAAATCACACAGTGTAAGCCCGGCTAAAGAGGGAAACGACAGAAAGCAATCTTAAAATGAATCATATACATCTTCTAATTCTGCATAGATCGTCACTGCTCTGGCTCTGGCCGGGGACCTCAGCTTCAACCCAGAGACTGACTATCTGATTGCCAAAAGTGGGGAGAAATTTAAGCTGGCACCCCCCACCGGTGATGAGCTTCCAGCCAGGGACTTTGACCCAGGCCAGGACACTTACCAGCACCCCCCTGCAGAGAGCAGCTCGGTCAGGGTGAGTAGAAACTGAATCAGTCTCTATTGGTCAGAAAGCTGAACAAGAAGCAGAGTTAAGATACACTGATGGAAAAACCAGATGATCCGAAGGTTATATAGATGGATTAATGTTTTTGGCCCTGTTTTGTTGCTGTACAGGTAGATGTGAGCCCCTCCAGTAACCGTCTTCAGCTGCTGCAGCCTTTTGACAAGTGGAATGGGAAAGATCTGGAGAACATGAGGGTCCTCATTAAGGTAAGCCTCCCTGTCAGATGGGTTCATTCACATCTGTTCAGCTCGTATTAGTTTTATCCTCTCCTGTTTTATTCACCCACATAAACTCATCTTTATTATGGCAGAATTTCCAAAGAGAGGTGGACTTTCTGAAGGATCATTTAGACTGAACAGCATCCAGTCAGCCTATCGCATAACTGCAATCATTTGAAATAAGAGGATTACAAATGATTGCGGAGCAGAGACAGAATTAAGTATAAGGATGTTTTTCACCTATTAAAGGAAAGGTCTGGTATAGGAATAATCAATGGATCGTTATTTACACCTAAAGCTAATACATTTGTGATGATTTAATGAATTAGGTGTTAATCAGTAAAGAAATAAAATGTATATGTTTCGTCGGGTTTAAAGAGTCAAGGAGCTGCCATTTTTGTCCAAATATAGTAACACCTAACTCCTGACATCTTCTCGCAGTGACGTCACTGTGAGCTAAGCAGAGCGCCATTCTCCCCGCTTAACAAGCAAAATCAACGGGAACTATTATACACACCTCAATCAACATCAATTATTAAAGATTTCAAGAGGAGTTCACCATTTAAATTCACAAGAGCTATAGTTAAACTGACAATGGCCATGGCAGTTGGATGTGTTAATACATCTGGTAAACATGAAAAAAAAAGAAGTTATTTCACCTTTCGATTCATGATCCTCCACGGACAGGTCCGTCGTTGGATTGCCAATTTGAAGAGAGAGGATTTGCCATCGAACTTCTGGCCAGAGAAAAAACACTTAATATGTAGCCAACATTTCAAAGAAGAATGTTTTCAAGATGACTTGGATACTAGTGCATTTTGACAAACACCAGATAAAGCATTGGGACTTGCTCAACAGCCGATGCCTCACCGTGACATCACAAACTAGTAGGTGGCAGTAGTGTTCTTTGACAAACATGAATGTCTCTGGTAAAAAAAACATTCAAATGAAATTACTCTTAATAAAAAATGTTCATATTTAAAGTACTTTCAGAAGTTTGAATTCTGAATATAACCGCACTTTATATTTTAACTCT